CGCGTGGCACGCGGCGGTGTCGCGGCACTGCTGCTCGTGGGACTCGACGCCGCGGTCAATACGTTCTTCTACAAGAAGTTCGAGGTCGTTGCCTGGAACATTGTCAAGTACAACGTCTTTTCGGCGGCCGAGAACGGCAGCGGCCCCAACCTCTACGGCACCGAGCCGTGGCCGTTTTATTTCAAGAACCTGGCGCTCAACTTTAACATTTGGTTCGTGCTGGCCCTGGCGGCCCTGCCGCTCTTCCTCCTGCAGAAGATGGCCGGCACCTCCAAGAAGGGCCTCGTGTCGGGCATGCGCGCCGTTGTGTTCCTGACGCCCTTTTACCTGTGGCTGGCCATCTTCACCCTGCAGCCGCACAAGGAGGAGCGCTTCATGTATCCGGCGTACCCGTTCCTCGCGCTCAATGCCGCGTTTGCGCTGCACATTGTCCTCGAGAGCATCGGCCACGCTACGCCGGGCACCCTGGCCGGCCTCGTCCCTGGCAAGGTCAAGCTGTTGGCCGTCCTCGGCGTCTTTGCAGGCTGCCTCGCCATCAGCGGCCTGCGGATCTATGGCGTCATTTCCGGCTACGGCGCGCCGCTGGCCGTCTACAAGCCGCTGGGCGGCAACGTGGTGCACCACGACGTGGCGGCAGGGCAGGCCGACGGCAGCATTGTGGGCGGTGCGGGGGATTTTGTCTGTCTGGGCAAGGACTGGTACCGTTTCCCGAGCTCCTTCTTTTTGCCGCGCAACATGCACGTCAAGTTTGTGCGGTCCGAGTTCCGTGGCCTGTTGCCGGGCGAGTTCTCCGAGGCCCGCACAGGCTTCAGCCTCTGGAGCGGCACGTGGTTGCCGACCACGGGCATGAACGACCGCAACGAGGAGGACATGAGCACGTACACCGACATTAGCACGTGCGCGTTCCTGGTGGACACGCAGTACCCGGAGAACGCGCGGCAGGGCCGCACACTGCCACCGCATGAACCCGACTACGTGGCGGATACCGCCAACTGGGAGGTTGTGACGTGCGAGCCGTTTTTGGACGCAGGCAACACCGGGTTCCTGGCGCGCGCGTTGTGGATTCCGAGCCTGGATTTCCTGCCAGAGCGTTTCCAGCGCAAGTGGGCACGGCACTGCCTGCTTAAGCGGCGTGAAAAGTAGAGTGGACAGTCTCAGAAGAGGGAATGTATAAAGTGCGTGGTTTCTTGGTCTCATTAGACCCGGTAGCATAAAACTTGGTTTCGGATTCTTATCTTTTAATGGACATTTTCATTTATACATTCACATGCTTGTTTGTGACATGGAAGTGTTTCGGCTATTCATTCGAGGAATGTTTTCTTTTACGTCGATGCGTTCTATGAATAGCACCTACAAAAGACGATGGAAAACAGATCTGTATACCAGCAGGGCATCGTCAGCCTTTGACCAAAGAGACCGCCTCAATTACGGGCGAGCCGTGTGCTGTGCATTTCGTCTGTTGATATAAAGTACAACATACAGACACGGGACGCTTCCCCCCCAATTGTCCGTCCCGTCTCCCATCGCCAGGGATACTTATCTTCACTTTCCACATTGTTTACGCCATTGTTCGCGGGAAACAGTGTCGGACATGCAAAGGGGTTTTATGGTCTAGACTTTGTATAGTTTGAGGGCTATTGTACTTGTCACGATGACAACAACGAAATTGGATTCCAGAGGAGAAATGGGGAGCAAGAGAGAAATTATGTTTGGAGATAATGTGAAAGAATTCGACCAGACATGTATTAATTGTAGCTTTTGTATCGAACTGGTCCCTTCCCGCCCACATTGCACCATCGATTCAGCTAGGAAAAGCAACCCACCACCCGTCTTGGACATTACAAAACAGCAACAGAAACGCCTCCGTCTTTTTCTTTACATCTCCAAACTGTAGACACTTTCGTCGGCCGTTAAAACAAGCAAAGGACAAAGGTCGGAAAACCCGAGGGGAAACGACTGCCCTCATGCCTTCTTCACCGTCACAATCGTTGTCCACTGCGCCGTAGGCGTCGCTTTGACGGGCTCCTTTTGCAGCGACAGCGCCTCGTCGGGAATCAGAGGACGCCCGTCGTTGTACAGCGTCGTCGCCCGGGCCGCTACCGGGGCCACGGCCGTCCGCTTGTTGTTGCCCGTGGCGGGCGCATCGGGCAGGATCGTGTACGTGGTGCCGCCAATGACCGTCAGCAAGGGAGGGCCACTGTTGCCATCACCGCCACCGCCGCCACCACCACCGCCGCCGGGCGAAGGCGGTGCTGGTGTCTGGGTCGACGTGTGGTGATGGGCGTAAATGGTGGTACTGGGCAGAAGGAACGTGTAGGACGTGGTGAGGGTGACGGGCGGTGCACCGCCGTTGCCCTGGTTGCCGCCAATCGTGATAATTGTCTGGACAGTATTTGTCTCGAGAGGGGAATCAGGAATGTTGCTGTCAAGCGGCTCGTCCACGCTTCCGGGCAGGCATTGGGAGTACCAGGGGCTGGCAAGGTTAGAGGACGGGCTCTTGAAAAGTAAAACAAAACTATTGTGATACTTACTTTCCAAAGCTACAGTAGTTGCCGGATGCACAAGCTGTCGGACCAGCATAGTTGGATCCGCCGCCTAGACAGTGTTAGTCTCTGATTGTAAACATGTTCTGCTTCGTTGATGGATTCGACCCACATTGACTCCAGACCGGGACGTCTGCGGCAACAGCAGATGCCACCAGCAACAGTTGGAGTAGTGATTGTGGCGCCATGAATGTGATTGTGTGTGTTTGTGACAATAAACTGGTTGCGAGAGTGACAGTTTCCGGTGAAGAGGGTGATTCGATGTCTACAGCTGTAATGTATGGATTGTGTCAATGGCAGCGACTTAGTGAAATATGATAAAAGGCAGAACAAGGGCTCCAACGCAAGAGCAGACGAGGGATATTTAACTGGGCATGGGCCATCTACAAAACGATTAGCTTGAGGTGCCGTTGACGTAGGCACTTTGGACTCTGCTCCGTTGTGCTGTCATATGTCTATGTGTTATTTGGTGACGGTATGACGGGCGGGACAGCAGATAAGAGGAAAAAGCAAGGACAAGGGCCGGACGCAAGGTGGAGGGGAAAAGTCAAACAGGCGGCAGGATATGACGGTATCCGAGATTGAGAAGAGGTTGAAGAAACAAATCCTTTCGTTTGGACTTGCCACGGTGGATCAAGAGGTTGAAGAATGACGGGTCCAAGACTGGGACAGAGTGTACGCACACCTTTTTGCCTCGACACCTGTTCCCGTTCTTCCGGCATCTGCCCATGCTATTCTTATTTCACAGTGTTCTGTCAAGCTGGATGATAAGCTGGGAGGTAAGAAGCGAGGGACATGCACCACACTCCGGGTAACAAGACTACCGCGCACTTTATTGTGCCATGCATCGGCAACAAGGCTTGTTTCGCCTGTTTTAGCTCATTTTATCAAGGTCATGTCGAGTGGCGTGGTGTGTAGATTGAAACCGAATAAATATTTACCCCGAAAAGGGTGCCCATCAAATTGACGAGGCACGCCAATCGTTCTGTCGAGGTCTAGACGCGGTGGACAGTAGGATGTAGCAGCAAGGTAAGTGAGTGCAGTCCAAAAATCGAATAGAAAACTGCATCAAGAAGCATGTATAAACAGACACAAATTCAGAGTCATGTTGGTGAGGCCAGACATATATTCATTCACAAAAAAATAAGAAAAGAAAAGAAAAAGACAACACTGCGCCCAAGTCCCCGGCAACTGGCTTCAGCTCGACGTACTGTTTCGTCGTTTCTCCCTGAAATACACCGATATGCGTCATTTTATAAAGTCAGGAGCTCTCTGCTCTCTGTTGTTTCTCCGTTGGGGCGTCCCGGTCGGCTGAAGTCCGTGTTGGTTTTTGCGTTTGGTGTGTTTAAAAATCTTGGCAACGGAGAGACTCGACTGCTAGGGGTGGCCGGGATAGAAATCCGGTATCGAGACAGGGGATGGGAAAAGGGTGAGAATAAAGACGCAAAGAAATGTTTTGGCTCTGGGTAAAGTGGTGGCTGCAAAAATAGAGTTGGGATGAAGGTGGTAAAAGGTAAAACACATGGCGTGCAGGCAGACAAAAATAAATTAATATCAGACAATACCACAATATCAGACGACAGCCTTGTTGCTGCGGCATCTTACATCTTACTTGTGGGAAGACGGGATAGCCTGCCAGGAACGCTCTTATCCAGTGCCGAGAGGAATCAGGGTGGACTTCAGGCTGACCATGTTTGTCGAAGATAATCTTTATTTGGCTGTCGACATAAATTGGGCCGATTTTGATTATTCCCCGACCCGTCATTCTGGGTGGCCACCCACTGGAGATCCATCGATTCGGCTGTCCCTGATTCCTTGTATCATAGAGCGGCAACGGCCTTCCAAGCGAAATGGATGCTACATGGTTGAGATGGGCCAGAAAGCATTTGCGGCGATGCTGAGTGACAGCACTCTAGTTTATGTCGCTGTGGTTTTCTTGACACAAGAGTTGTGTGCTACTGCTTTATTTTCATTTGTTTCTCTTAATATTTTTTTGTTAAAAAACTGTTTTTGGAACAAAACACAACAATCTTTTTGATTTTCTTCGAATATTTGAAACTTTGTGTTTTTTTTTAAAAAAAAAAAAATAAAAAAAAATAAAATAAAAGGGAATAACAAATAAATAACAGACCGTGGGCTATGATTTATTTCCCAACAAGGAAAAAATGTCCCCTCACAAATGTCCGCGTTTCTTCTCCCCTCACTGCTAGCACAAACGATGTTCACGGGTCATCTCACTGACACATCGGGTGTGCTTCTCAAAAAAGATACTGTGGATGGACTACGATGACTTATCTGCGGGGTCCGCCGACCACGGAAAGCCAACAAATGAGGAGAAAGACAGGGAGGGCGCGAGGGCACGATACCAAGATATCATCGCTTGTCACTTTGGTGTCGAGAGAGGCTGATTCCATTGCTGTTAATATTTTCGTTAGATGGGCAGTTGTCTCTGTTGACATGGATCTCACGCAACTCGCTGTCGATGCGGCCGCTGACATGAAGGGCCTGGTATCACTTTATTCAACCAATGCGGCGGCCACGGCCGTGGTTTTTCTCGTCTTGGCATATGTGGTATTGACATTTCACAAACGTATCGTGCGACCAACAAAACCAACCAAAACAACATCATCCTCACAGAAGTCGACAGCCGATCCAGACGGCCTTGCGTATTTCCTTCCTCCGTCGCGCCGCCAAGTGCTGCCACCACCCTTTGGCACAGTCGAGAAGGACAGTGTCAAAGAGGGCGAAGGTGGATTTGTCTCCCCTACCGGCATTCGTCTTTGCGAACTTCGGCGTCTCGTGGGCTCCTTTCCGGACTACGCGGTGCTCAGCGGCGTGCCCCACCCACAGCCATGCCCGGCCGGATTTACGCTAGAGACGGCCCGCTTCCGGCCGTTTCGACCATTTCGATGGCGATACCATCAACACATGGGTAGGCTGAGCTTAGACAGAATGATAATCTATGTGAATTACTGACACTGCCTGGCCTTGCCCAGCACTTATGAAACTGGACCCCGACAACTGGCTGGAGCTACAGCACAGCTACAAAGCGAGTCTGGCGGAACGGCGCGCCCTTTATGAGGCACACGGCGAAAAGATTTTGTTCTGCAGTACGCCCGGCGACGACAACGACAACGACAGCGTTGTGGATGCTCTGGCGTGCCGCGAGCTGCTGGAGATGGCGCTGCAGTTTGTCTGTCGGCGGTATCCGCATCTCTTTGCACTGGACGAGCAGGAAGGAGAGAAACAGACCGTTCGCGTGTTTGTCAACGAGGTGCTCGGCACAAAAGTCGTGCTGGATGACGGCGTCTATGGCCACCGTGCGCTCCAAGTCCTGCTCGATAACATTCCCGAAGACTTTGCCATTGTCACGCGCAGCGCAGACGACGGGCGCTACCGCCTGCGCGCGGCCAGTGTCTCCTCGTCCGTCGGCTGGTGCATCGGACAGCACCGCGGGCGGCCGCTGCAGGACATCCACGGCCGGGTGACGGACTATGCGACGAAAATGGCGCGCAGCATGGACCGCTACTTTGCCAAGCTGCCGACGGACCAGCCGATCCAGCGCGGATCGTGGACCATCGAAGAGGGGCGGCCGCTGTTTGTCGAGCACGAGGCCGACCGGCCAGGCCTTGGTTCGGAAGGCGATGGCGATGGCGATGGTGGACGCAGTGGACGGCTGCCCCTGCATCTCCGCTGCGACTGGCAGACGCTGCGCCGGCTGCCTCTGACGGGCGCGATTGTGTTCAATTTCAAGCCGGCGTTTACGCCCCTCACGGACCTGAGGAGTGAGCCGTACGTGCCGGCGCTGCTGCACCAGATCCTCGACCAGGGCGACCCGCGACTGGTGACGCCGGGCAAGTGCATGGAGCACACCCACAAGGAGGTGGTGTCTCTCCTGAAATCGTGGGCAGACGAGCAGGTCGCGTCAGGCGTGGTGCCGGCCGATTGGGAACCGCGAACATTGGACGAAAGTCCATTTTATCCTGGATGGGAGGCGGTGTGGCACGGGGCCCAGGGGTTTTGACAGCGCCGTGAAGAATCATACGTAAACGGGAGGGATATGGGGGACTATGGAGGACTATGGAGGGTGTATGTGCAGTTGTGCATTATGAATGGGCATCTCACGAAATAACAGCGAAACAGGACACAATTGAGAAGCAAAATAAGGTCCATGAAAAAGGATGAGATTCGGGCAGCAAAAACAAGCGAACGCGATTCTTCTACCCTTCACGGCATCCCTGTTAGTCTGTAATTGTAACCTTAAAAGTAGCTGTCTACATCGTTTCGTGGAAGCCTAAATCTTGAAACCAGAGACGCTGCATTGGTTGACGGATTCAAGCTATCACTGGGTAGGCTAATATGGTAGCTCCGGCTGTTATTGGCACAGCCCAGTAAGCTTTCCTCTACGGCGCGAGTGAGTACGATAAGAGTTACAATATCGTGTAGATAGCCCCAACTCCTCGACATCACCCCTCCATATGAATCGTAACATCGAGTTAAAGACGCGCCGTACTCCAAGTATCTTCCTTCCTCTCCCTTTTCTCATCTCGAGCCATCGCAAAGATACAGCTAACTGCAGAAGCGTGATAACAGGCGATATGGAACCTGATTTTGGGCCGCGCGCCCAGCCGCCGCTCCTGGCACACTTTCTTGGGGAGACTGCGCATACAGCTACAGCCGCCATAGATACGGCGGCCACCGACCCAACACACCCTTCCAACCGCTCACACCTCCCTCCGCCGGCATCGCCGGCCAACGAGCAGACAGACTCGTCCTTCTTTACACGCCTGCCGAGCGAAATCCGGCGCATGATTTATGTTGAGGTCTGGCGCACCTATGGCAGCGAAGGCTATGGCGACCAGGCGGGTGGGGCCAGTGGAGAGGACGACACGGGCGACAAGGACGACAAGGACGACAAGGACGACAAGGACGACAAGGACGACAAGGACGACAAGGACGACAAGGACGACAAGGACGACAAGGACGACATACGCTCGCACATTTCGGCGTCGGCGCGCGGCGGGCTGTCGCCGCATATTACGGCTGTCATGCTGCCGTCTGTGGCCTGGCTGAAGTCGCCTATACCGAGAATTGGGGGCCGAAACAGCAGTAGCAACAGCAACAGCAGGAGCTCCAGCCACAGCAGGGGCGATGGAGAACGCACGGGCGACACCCAGCAGCAACAGCAAGTACAACCTCCACAACCTCCTCAACCTCCACAACAACAACAGCCATCCCCGTGGACACGCCAGGTCAATGGCTTCACGTCGGCGCCGTGCTTTTTACACGTGGACAACGACGATGACGACGGCTACCACCACCGCCACCATGTCGACCACAGCGTCAATGGGCGGCGTGACAGCCTCCAAGGCTCCTCCACAGCACCGGCTCATTCGCCGCGACGCCCGCCGGAGGCCGACGACATCCGCCCACAGCGCCTGGCCGCCGCCCACCGCGCCGATCTCGATGCCGTCGCCGCCAACAACAGCATCTACGACCACTCCAACTCGGACTCGGCCACGCCTTCGTCCACGTGGCGCGCCCGCTGGAACAGTCCGTGGCTGGGGCACTGGGCCTGCGAGGAATACTACTCGGGGGCAGCCAAGTCATCGGCGAGCGAAAGCAACCCAGAGACGGCAGCCGCCTCCGCCTCGTTCTCCTCTTTGGCGACCACCCCACACAGCCACAGCCACCGCCGCCGCCGTCCGCCGTTGCGCCGCCCGTACCTGCCCGTCCTCTTGACGTGCCGCCGCGCCTATGTTGAGGGCATCGACCTGCTCTACAGCGCCCTCACTTTCCAGTTCACCGAGATGTCCACCGCCCAAGACTTCCTCGCACGCTGGCCCTGCGTGTCGTCGGTGCGGCTGGTCATGCACCTGTCCAATTCGCTGCTCGAGTTTTACCTGCGGCCGGACGATTCAGACCAGGCCATCATTACCGCCGCCGAAGCGCCCCCGGCACAAGATCTAGACCATTATAACCAGAACCACATCCACAATCACGTTCTAAACCACATCCACAACCACGACGCAGGCACCGGCGCCGTCACCATCAACGCCCGCAACAATGCCTGGCAGCGCCTGTGCGCTGGTTTCGCCGCCGACCGCCTCCCGAACCTGCGCCGGCTGCACGTCTGGGTCGAGGCCCACGATCTGCGCGGCTGGCCCAAGACGGCCGCCGAGACGCGCCTGTTTGCGCAGCTGCTGGACGCCGCGCGCAGCCAGCGGCGGCTGACCCCGGAGCGGTTCGTGCTGTACCTGCCGACACTGCCCCCCGTCGGCAGCAAAGAGCGGGAACTCAAAGGGTGTTATTTGGGGGAGGACGAGGATGGCGGCGACAACGACGACAACAACGGCGGCAAAGAAAAGGAGACACACGTCCTGCCGGCCCGTCTGCCCTGCACCATCGTACGCACCGAGCGGCCCGACTATTGGGATGTCCACATGCACATGCGCCCGGTCTATGTCAACCGGCGCATGTCCGTTGGCAGCCGCGTATCTGCGCTACGCCGCGCTGGTTTTCTCTAGAAACCGCGCATAACAGATCGCGGCAACGACGGGGGATTTGGTACACCTACAGAGATGGGAGAAAGAGAAAGGAGAAAGCACCGTGAAGATATGAAGATATGAAGATAGCAAAAAGCCACAATGAGATGCCATTATATGAGAATGAGAAAACCGAAGCGCAATATCCAGAAAGCAGAGACCGAGGACACATTTTTCCTCCCAAGCTTTGTAAACCTCACCCCAAAATGCAAACGCTGTACAGCATGTCCTATCCGTGTTTTCTACTCCTCCACCTCCAGTGACTCCAGCACGTGCATCGCCCGTGATCCTTGCTGCTCAAAGATGCTCACCATCGCCTCACACTCCTCCTTGAGCAGTCGCTCCGCCTGTCCCGCGTTGTGGAAGATAAACTCTTCCACCGTCATACCCTTCTCTGGCGTGCTCAGATCTGTGCCCTTCCGCAACAGGCTTTTCAGGATGTCGTCGCCGTTCTCCTTGTTGAGCCCAAAGATTGCATCCACATCGACCGCAGACCAGGAGATGGCGCTGCGCAGTCCACAACCTAGGATGTTGGCCCGCTTCGATGGCGATCCCGTACGCACGGGCGTCGACACGCCACCAGGCGTGACAGCGTTGGCCGCCGGAAGCGGCATCTGTATGGGAGCCAGTGCAACACGCTTGCCCTTGGCGCTCGTGGTCGCTGGCCGTGACGACGGAGGCTGGTTCTCGGCATCCGATGACTGCGGCGACTGCGACGGCGACAGCGTCGCCTGCTTGGCGAGCGCAACGGGCGACTGCTGCTTGCGAGGTGTGGCGGGTGCGGGGCTCTCTACACGCGCAGGCATCGAGACGAGCGCGGGTACTGGCACAGGAGTGATGCCTGCGTGGGACTCTCGCTTTTGTTGCGCCGGTTTGGACTGCGGCAAAGGAGGCAGGGCCTTATCCTTGTCCGTTTGCGACTTCTTTGCTGCTGTCGGAACGACTGTCTCCTTGTTCGAAACATTGCTGCTCTTGCGCTTTTTCGGCGCAGACTGTTCAGCAGACATGGCCACGGCAGGGATGGAGGGGGGTGGAATCGGCGTAATTTTGGTCGGGACCGTTGCTTGCAGCTGGGCCTGGATGGCTTGCTCAGCAGCGCTGGACCGTACTGAAGACGACGTAGACTCGGCTGATTTCTTTGGTGGCCGGCCACGGCCCCTTTTTGCTGGCGGCGCAGCTGCAGGCGGTGCTGGCTCTGGCTCTTCGACAGCCTCATGGACAACTGTGCCGCTGCTGCCAACACTCAGAAGGCTTTCCTCGTGCAGCTCGTCTGGCCCTTCCATCTGTTCAATATCGTGCAGAGACAGTCGTGGTTGCGTTGACTGCCGGGGAGGAAGGGACAATTTCTTCGACTTCGTTTTGCCGTTGGTCTTCGGCTTGGCCTCTGGAATACTACTGTATCCAGCTGTCGGTGGGTCCGGCTGCTGAACCTCTGGCTGAGGCTCCGGCTCGGGCTCCGGCTCCGGTTCTTTATCTTGCTGTGGTACTTCTGGTTCTGGTGCGGCGATTTCAATCTCTGGTTCGGGAGCAACCGAGGCTGCTTTCGCCTTCCGTATTTGCTTAGACGCCTTGCGTGTGCCCGTCTTCCGGCCCTTCTTAGGAACCTGGATTTCCTGCTCCTGTTCTTTCTCTAGTTGCTGTTGTAGCTGCTGGTCCATATCGACGTCCACCTCCATATCCTTCTCCAATGCGCGTAGCTCGGCATCAATGGCGGACTCGTCGGCCTCCCGTGGCATAGGATCAAACATGGCGTAGTCGTTCCTTTCGGCTTGCACCGCGTTGTTGCTCGCACGGACACGCGTAGCACGCTTTTTCTTGGGCGCCGGCGCCTCAGCTGCATCCGCGGCAGCCGAATCAATCTCGTCGCTTGTCCGCTTCTTACCCCGTGACGTTTTTGTGGGCACCGGTGGCTGGGGCTCAGCAGCAGCGGCTTCTTCCTCAGGAATAATAGTACTTTCAACCTCCGGCTCAGGCTCAGGTACCGGGACTGGTTCGTCCTTTTTAGTACGTGTCTTGCGGCCTTTAGCTGTCGTCGTGCCAGTTGCTGTCTTACGTGCCCGTGTGGTTTTCCGGCCGCCCTGGGTCACGACGGTGGTGGTTGTGAGGATGCTGTCGTCCGGGTCGGCCACGGACTGCGCGTCGGAAGTCACTGTGGCCACGGACTGGATGGAAAGACGCGTCGCCTTAGACGTTCTTGCCGACTTGCCGCGTGTTGTCTTTTTCGGTGCCGGGTTTGTGCTGATGAGTGTGAAAAACGGACAGTTGGGCGACCGTCTTTGATGCTCGTCCCTGTACAATCTGTTAGTGAACGTAAAGCAGTGGAGATAAAAGGAGAACAGGTACGAACATTGGCTTGTCGCTAGCCTCCCAGCCGTCGAGTGCGAGCTGGCAGTACGTGCACGTAGTGTTGTCATCCGACTCCAGTGTAGGCGTGTACTTCCATCCCGCCTCGGCGAGTTGTTTGGTCTTGCATTTCCAACCCTTTTTGCTCTCGTATGGCCACCGACCACCAAACGTGGACTTGCGGGCTTCCAGAAGGTATGGCAGACGCGGGTCTTCGTTGACAACGTCGCCCAGCTCGAGCTCTATGGCAGCGCAGATGGCCCAGCCACACGAGCCCGAATGCTTGAGGTGTTCTTGTAGCGGGTCATCGTCCTCCTCCCAGCCGTCGAGGTCTTTGTGGCAGAGAAAGCAGCGAACGTTATCGGGGTTGCTCGGTTGTGGGTTGAAGAAGAAACCAGCTCGCGCGAGCTAAGTAAAGATTAGCAAGAAGCAAACGACCGGGAAGTAGTGACGAGACGCAACGAGACTCAACTCACGTCAATGGGAGCCGGCGATTTGTGAGGCCACGTCAGGGCCTTGGGCGCTCTAGATCCAGCAGCGGTTGACGGCCTCCGCTTGGCGACGGGTTGCGGGCCTTGGAAAGAGGACAACCGTTTGTCAAAAATGAAATATTGCTCGTCGTAATCGGTCGCGTCCATCGCGATGGAGAGTGGCTGACGACAGCCGGGGGCGAGATGTCGAAAAAGATGTGATGCGGAGAGGAAGTGGAAAGATTAAGAAAACGCGCCGAGAAGGGAGGTTGTGATCGTGTCGGCTACAGCTTTTGCATGTTCATTGGGCCGAGTTGGTGTCCCGAAAAATCGTAGAGATGACTGGTGACAAGTTGAGAATAGAAATCTGTCAACGCGAGAGGTTGAAGCTGCTGGTGTTCAGGATGTGTCGACTTAGCGCAGCAAGCTTTAGCATGAGTACTAACTGTTGCAGGCATGACAGAACTGGCCTGTGATTGGCCCGTTCTGTCGCGTTTGTTTACATAGGTGCATAACCCCGATTTGGATTGCTCATGCTAGCATGCACAACTACCTCCCTTGACATGCACAATTTTAATGCCAGGTCGTTTCACAATTCCCGACTAATGCGACAAGTGTTTCCTATTTCCTCCATTCGAAATGAGAAACATCGCCTTCTTCTCACGCATTCTGATATATTTGGCTACCTTGATCTTGGACAAGAACGCGAACTGTTCATAAATGCAACTAAAGGGGTTACTTAATGATTGCGATGCGCGTACAACTAAACAGGCAAGAGCAGACCACGAGGTGATTGGAATAACGCGTCTATTCTCGTTTGATACTTGTGGAAAGTGCCACGAACACGGCTGAGGATGCCATCTACGTTTCCGTTGACCTCACGAAGCTGATGTGCACTGCTTGCCACTCTACTGGGTAGGCCAAATAGCTTCCCCATTACCTCTTTCAGAACTGCCATCTTCATATTGGCTGTGGCCGGACATGTGGATTGGTTGGCTCGGTTGGTTCTGATAAATAAAGTGGAGTCGTTGCCGTAGCAATGTTCACGGCTCGTGAGGGGTTCTGGTCACCGCTTGGATCAACGCACAGGGCACTGTATCGCCCAAGCAGACAGAGCAAGGTCTGGAACCGTCAGGGCGATGGCTAGGTTAAAGTGAGAGCGATCCTGCCCGTTTCAAGCCACCAACCAGTGTGTGCCTGTCCATTTCTGTTTCTGCCGCCTTCTGCTTTCCTTCTCCTTCCTCTTAAGCCGTCTATCTCCCTCTTCTCCTGTCTCCTCTGCCACATTCTTTTCAAAACATCACCAGATTTCCATTTTCGAATTTGCTTTGCACCAACGCATTTTACAATCACCCAAATTGACCGACCGCCAGACGCTCGGTAATACCCATTTTCTGTTCAGCTATCGAGCACTAGCAAATCAAAACAATGGTAAGTTGCACAAACGGACCTACAGGTGTTGCCCGTGTAAACAAGCGTGCGGTCTAGAAGAGCAGCACGACAAAAGGACCGGCAAAGGGACCACCGATCAATGCCACACGCCGAATCTCACACCAGGAACCGGGACTGCCCACGCCAAAAACGACGCCAAAATCGCACCAAACAGGCACGCCGAACCCTTGTGCACCGCTAGATGGGCTTCGGTCAGATGCTATTTGTGTACTAAAATCCCAGGGCTTTCGCTCCTCTCGGAACGTTTTTAGCGTGGGCGGTGACTCCAGTTCCAGGGCAGGCGTTTGGTGCTTTGTAGTGTTTTTGCGTGCTGTCGGCGTGGAGACGGCTGTCAACAAATTGCGCCCTCCTTTTCTGCGAACTTTCCATCGCCACGAGCCATCGCTACCTCTTTGACTCCTGCATCGTCGTTGCTCTTATTCATATTCGCACTTTTTTTTCTGCACACACGCACACACAATCCACAATACGCAACGCTTTCGCCATGGCTTCTAACCAGTTCGATGCGCAGGCTTCCACCAACTACAAGGAGGCGTTCTCCCTGTTCGACAAGCGCGGCAATGGTCGTGTCGCTCTCGATAGCCTCGGCGACCTGCTGCGCGCTTGCGGCCAGAACCCGACGCTGAGTGAGGTGCGCGACCTCGAGAAGAACGTCGGCGGCGACTGTGAGTAGCTTCCTGGTTCTGGTTGGGCTGTTTGCCCCTGAGACGACAGGAGACGGAGTGCTCTCCCAAGGAGCGCGGGGGATGCACGCGAGGCATACGAAACTAACGATTGCAGTCGATTTCGAAACTTTCCAGCGCATCCTGAACCGTCCCGGCGGCTTCCGCGACCCCGGTGAACCCGAGGAGTACTGTCGCGGTTTCCAAGTTTTCGACAAGGACATGACCGGCTACATTGGCGTCGGCCAGCTCAAGTACATCCTGACGAACCTCGGCGAGAAGATGACTGACGAGGAGGTTGACGAGCTGCTGAAGGCTGTCGACACGAGTTCAGGACAGGTCAACTATACGGGTATGTCGGAGATTTACCAAACTTTCGCAGACCCATGGACGCATTGGGAGCTGAATTGATCCCCCCGCAAATCCTACCTTGCTATATGCTAACGTCTTTGCAGACCTTGTCCGGACAATTCTTGCCAACTAGATAGGCTGGAACCGCGTCTAGTGATGTCTATTGGGTGGTGTCGGCATGAAACAGGGAGTGTGGAAGTTTTGAAGACAAAGGGTGCCGTGTTAAACATTTGGGGATGCCGCAGAATGTGGACCTAGCCCATACGGACATGTTGTTCCATCATCGCCGGACTTGGATTAGGTGGCCGCCGTCTACGAGGACGACGCCCTGAAGGGATTGCTTTTGCGTACATAAATATAACTTGGGAGCATGGGCTGCACCGGCGTTGATTTGCTTAGGTCGATGCGTTGAATATATTTGGATTTTATGCTACTTTCCGTTTGCTTCCTATCAGTTTGTCTCCTTTTCGCTGTCATCAACACTTTTCCGGGCAAGGACACATGTCAGCGTTTTTTAGCCGCTGCCGTGTGTCGTCGGATATCCTGCATCCGCTCTGTGTCTCGCATCCGTCACCTCGTTGTGATCCAATTGTCGTGTTCGTTTAAGCCGCAACGTTTGTTTTAAAGCGACGGTCGTGTCACAGCAGTTGCTTGCGAGGCGCACTTGCTATTCAATTTTTTCGATGCACAGGCATTTCACGGACGGCACCTGCCAACGGAGCATTCCACTATCCCCACATTGCGCTAAAGCGGCAGCTACGCCCCTCACCTGCAGCTGCAGTCGCAGTCGTCTTATGCACCTCTGCTCTCTTCTCTCCTTTCCCCTCCCCACGTCCTGTCTGCTTCTCCCTGCCTTTCCACTTCCTCTCCGACTTTTACGCATCTATCCAACTCTGCATCACCCATCTGTGAGCTGCCTGATCGTTAGCCCACCCTGCACAGGTCCTAACGAAAGCACCTTCACGCTGGATTCCTACACCCCCGTGCGTTCTTATCGCAGTCCACGCTCCTCACCGAGGCCACAATCTCGTCGCCTGCCGCCACAAAGCAAGCGAAGCTCGAGTCGCTTCTGTTCCGCGGCCGCCATCGTTGTTCTCGTTCTCTGTGTCATCTACATCGCTACGCTGGCCACCCGCGTGCTTCCCCGGCTCTCTCTCGCCGTCTTTCGCGGTTCGACCCGGCCTCAGATCCCGTTTTTGACACAGCTCAAGGACCAACTACACAACTACCCATCGCCCGCGTCACAACTCTACTTTTCGTCGTCAAGCCCGACTGTAGCGACCTACCAGCCCATCTTTACGAATCCTTCGATTGAAAGCATGGCCGACAAGTACAAGAACCCACCCCAGGCCCCGCCTACCTTCACGGGAACCAAGGAGAGCATTCTGGCCGACGCCAAGGCCATCTGCGATCGCACCCGTGCCATGCTCGACAAGGTCGTTGCTGACGTGCCGCCTGTGGCCGACGACAGCAAGACCACCTTCGACACGGTTTTTGGTCCCCAGGTTGAAGACGAGAACGGCGTCTCTCTCTCCGCCCACATTCTTGGGTTCTACCAGTATGTGTCGGCAGACAGTGAGCTGCGTGACGCCAGCACAGAGGCTACGCGCCTGATGGATGAGTTTGGCATCGAATGCAACATGCGCGAGGACGTCTTCAAGGTCGTCGACGCCACTGTGCAAACCTACGGCGGTGTAGATGCCCTGGAATCGACCGGTGGCAAGGTGGGAGGTGCGGTCACGCCGCTCAATCCGGAGAGCGCTCGCCTTCTTGTCCGTGAGCACAAGGGCTACATCAAGAATGGCCTGGGTCTCCCTGCGGGTCCCGAGCGCGACCGCTTCAAGGAGATCAAGAAGCGCCTGAGCCAGATCCAAATCAATTTCCAGAAGAACCTCAACGAGGAGAACGGCGGTATCTGGTTTACACGCGAGGAGCTCGACGGCGTGCCGGCCGACTTGATTGACGGCCTCGACAAAGGTGAGGACGGAAGCGACAACGCCGGCAAGGTCCGCCTGTCGTTCAAGTACCCCGACTTGTTCCCTGCTCTCAAGTTTGCAAAGAACCCGGACACCCGCCGGCGTATTTTTATCGACAACGAAAACAAGTGCAACGGCAACGCTGCACTGTTCCGCGAAGCCGTACTGCTGCGCGACGAGGCCGCCCGCATGCTCGGCTACCCGAACCATGCGGCCCTGCGCCTCGAGGACAAGATGGCCAAGGACGTCAAGACGGTTGATGACTTCCTAGGCGATCTGCGCAACCGTCTGGCTGCTGGAGGTGTCAAGGAGATTGACCACCTGCTTGCTCTCAAGAAAGCTGACACGACTGAGCTGGGTCTGCCATTCGATGGCAACTACTACCTCTGGGACCACCGCTACTACGACCGCCTCATGATCGAGAAAGAGTTTAGCATTGACGAAAACGAGATCGCCGAGTACTTCCCGCTGCGTGCGACTGTTGCTGGTATGCTTGAGATCTTCGAGGAGCTGTTCGGCTTCGTTTTTGTCGAGCTCGGTCCTGAAGAGCGCGCCCGGATCAGTCCTACCGGCCGCGCGGAGGACATTGTGTGGCACGAGGACGTCATTGTCTTCAGCGTCTGGGACGACAAGTCGGAGGGCGAGGGCTTTGTCGGTTACCTGTATCTGGATCTGCACCCGCGCCAGGGAAAGTATGGCCACGCCGCCAACTTCAACATGCAACCCGGCTTCAAGCAGACCAACGGCACCCGCCGGTACCCAGCCACGGCGCTTGTGTGCAACTTCAGCAAGCCGACGCCCACGAAGCCGTCGCTGCTCAAGCACGACGAAGTTGTCACACTGTTCCACGAGCTGGGCCACGGCATCCACGATCTGGCCGGCCGCACGGAGTTCTCGCGCTTCCATGGCACGTCAACTGTGCGTGACTTTGTCGAGGCGCCGAGCCAGATGCTCGAGAACTGGTGCTGGAGCCCGCCGCAGATAAGGCCCTTAGCAGCCACTACGAGTCGGGTAAGCCTATCCCGGACGCTCTCGTTGAGAAGCTTGTGGCGACCAAGCATGTCAATGACGCCCTTTTCAACCTGCGCCAGCTGCACTTTGGCATGTTCGACATGATGGTGCACGCGCCCGAGTCGCACGCGGCCCTCGAGGCCCTCGAGATTAGCAGCGTGTATAACGACTTGCGCGCCCAGATTTCAGGCATCAAAGGGCCCGAGGCCCAGGGCGAGCCGAGCACCTGGGGCAACGGCCAGGCATGCTTTGGCCACCTGATCGGCGGCTACGACGCGGGCTACTACGGCTACCTGTACTCCCAGGTGTACTCGACGGACATGTTCTATACAGTGTTCAAGGCCAACCCGATGAACGGCACCGAGGGTCGGCGGTATCGGCACACCGTGCTGGAGCGGGGTGGGTCGCAAGACGAGATGAAGACGCTGGAGCAGTTCTTGGGCCGCAAGCCTAACGGCGACGCCTTTTACAAGGACTTGGGTATTACAGCATGACTAGACGAGTGGTCGTCAAAGCTGTAAGCTCACAGAGGGTTTTGCCTCAAGGCAATTTGAAACGAAGTTGCGCAATATTATTCACTTGAGTAGCTTGGCTGTTAGATTCAATGAAATTTGCCTCTCTCCAAAGATTTCCCAAGAGTGCAGTGGTGTGATCGTACATACTTGACTGCTTTGTTCGATATCAATGCCTGTCATTGTTGTTGGGACTACCTATTACCCCTCAACTCGTATTTATTTCCAGATTTGGCATATGTGTCGTCAGATATTCTTGTTTATCGACAGTCAAGCATCATCTTCACTTCGTATCTACGTTGCAAGCGGGCGTCATACAGCGTTGGAAATATAAAAAAACTCTTCAAATTGCCAAAATGGAAAGCCACCGGCGGTCATGAAGTAATGACAACTCCTCTCAACTGGTACTCGACGCCGAATGTGTGCCCAACCTAGTAAGACTGTCTCTGGCCAACCAGTGACGCAACCATTTAGGGGCGAACAAACTGTAAGTGCCGTATAACGTCCATCTCTCGGAAAGCTGTCGCTGTAGTTCGGCCAGTCTTGACAACGGGCGTCACGTATATATTCGCAGCTAAGTTCAGTAAACAGTAGAAGACGACTAGAAGTCACGGCGACTGAACAAGAGGACTTCGAGTGGGAAGCAAAGAATTTTTTTTACCTAAATATAAAAACTATTAAAAATCATGCGATGACATTGGTGCAGACGACGTCAAGCATCCAGTCATCGTTGTAGCTTTCATCTCGCTCGTTGCCGAGGTGGTGTGAGAATGGGTCGCTATAAGGCGGGCGCACCTATACACGGTTCGCGCACTGTCCTAAAATGTGCCCCATCTGAGACACCTTAGACTTGCACTGTGTTGTCTTGGCAGTCTCACCTTGCTGCTTTGCAAACTCGTATATGATTCTTCGACGACCAGAGTTTTACTTTCCTAAAGTATTGCTCTTAAATTTCAACTCTTAGTTTCAGACTTCCTGGGACTCGCAGACAACAGTCACTTATAATCACGAAGACGTCAATTCTAGACTTTAAATATTGACAAGAATCGCCGCAGTTTTTTATCATAATAATAATTATATGGACCAGGCCTTCTCTCATTCCAAGACTTCCTTGGCCATCCTGTACCCTGACTGAGATGGGTCGATGCTATACTCTAGCCCGGGGATTTCTCGGGCTGGATGACGCGGGCCGAAAAGAAAAGTCTACCCAGGCGTGATGCTTAAAATGTGCAACATAAGACTCGTCCTCAGTTGACCATTGGCGCCTGTCTGCTCCCCACCTATAGCTGTTATTTGTTGGTTGCAATACCTGCGTCGGTTCGTGTCCTCTCGCTCTCTCCTTCTTTCGTTCTCTTGCAGCCGATATAATAGCAGTTACCTAACTCGAGACAAATTAAAATTATGTGCTTTGCCAAATCATCACGGATGTTTCTCTCGCGGCCTCGTTGCATGCACTGAATTTCGTATTTGCTTTCCCGGACCATTGTTCGAGCATCAAGAGCGTCCGGCAGGTTTTGACCGGTCACTTTGGTTTTTGTGACCCGCATATCCACGAAGGTGGCACACCGCGGATGCTTCCCCGTCCACTCGGACGCTTCGACGTCAACGAGATGGCAACCACCTCCATCTTCGTCTTGCACGGGCCCACCGTCTGTTTCCTTACAGCTTTGCACAAATAGTACGTATAAGAATGCTGCGAATTTGATGTCTTGCCAAGACGTGTGGAGATGCAAACCTGCAAAATAGGCAAGGTGGCAACTCGGCAACTTGCAAAACAACGGGACACCAGGACAACAGCGACCTCAATGTAGCTCGGCGAGGCCGACCATGATGCGTTACCATATATGATCAGTAGGAAGCGTGAGACGCTGGGCTCCTGTGTTTTGTTTTGTTTTGTTTTGTTTTCGTGTGTGTGTGTGTCAGTGTAGCATTCCTTTATCATCGCCAAGGGGGGAGACTCAATCTTTGCCAAAGTACCGTACAGTAACACAGGGAGTGTAAGTTGACCAAAGTAACAGAATGGTCAACGATGCAAATTGAAAGCGCTGAGGAACGGATGAAGCAGGTTGCATAGTCTGCTGTGGAATAAGGAGAGAGAGTGTGAGTGAATGGGCTGGGCTTCATTCCGGAGAGAATTGGAAGTGAGTGGGCATGTGGAAGAGGGACTCCGCGTGATTCTTGGCCTTTCTGCCGGTATCGCACGGTCTTTCGTATTGCTAAACCGGTACTGGCAGATTATATTATGTTTTTGTATTGGTAATACCAATTTTGAACCGCTGACGGAGGTTGCCATCTGCTCTGCCTACTCTACTCTTTGATGTGTAATTATATATTGCTTCTCGCCTTCGGTAATCTCCTCCCCGAGCGTGCTTTCACAACACACAAGTGGTGATTTTCTCCGTGTCACTGGGGAAATCGATGGAATAGTTCGCACCCTGGTGTGCTAGTCCATTTTTGTCTATTGTCCGTTTGCAGCACTTTTCTGCGGAGACGGAGCACAAAGCACCGTTGGCTCTACGAATCTGGGGCCAAAGTCTTTTTTAACCTTTAATTTTATTATTTTTGTCGATCGTGAAGTCGCGGCACGCTGTGGAACCGAGGATCAGCAAAACCGTTGACAAGGCTGGAGCCAGGCGTCTGACAAAAAGCCGCGCGAAGCCGCGTTATGTATCTTTGAAAAAAGAAAGACTTGTGCAGCGGGCTTCAACATTCTTTGTTCCTGTTGTTCACCAGCCACTGGGTGTTGATCTTGGCTCGCCGTCTCTGTCCTCGCAAGGTCTGCTTGAATTGGATTAGCCTTCAGTAAAGTCCTGTTGTGGGCCATAAGAAAATTACAGGGCACTTGATGCGCAACGGGCAACGGTCCTTTGTAAATAGGCCGTTTCCCAACTCGTGCAAGGCTCGGCCTTCGAGCTTCTTGCGCCGTCCCGTGGTGAGAGGCATCATATTGCTCGCGAGACATCCAGTCGAAGCTATACAATGCACGTGTTAGTACGTCGTCCTCCGTACGACAAATCAAACTAGAAGTAGACCGAGTAAACAAAGAAAGGCAATAGCGTCAAACGAAAAGTACGAAGTGCATGACTGGACACCTGCCAGTTATGGCCAGTCGACCACTGCCGATACTATGTGGCCAAGCTTTGCCCAGCTTGCCCAGCCCCAAGCCTTCACATGCATAGCTTTCACAGTCTACAAAGTATATGTCGTCCGTCCATTTGTCGCTTAAACGCATACTGAATTGACGATCGCCCATCCCCACTCACTCCTGCCGTTTGTGGTTCTTGGAAGGCTCCACCTCCCCACACAGAAACAACGACATGTCCGTGCGGTAAAAAATGAAAGGGAGGAGCAACATGCGGTGCAACTTGACCTGCGCACGGTGTTACTTTTGGCATTGCCGGTGAACATAGTTTTCATGTATTGTTTTGTGTGACCCTAGGGTTGTATCTTCCGTAAATTGAAGGCTCATCTGCGAGTTCAAATTAGTACATCGTTTTTCGAAAAGCCCACGATAAAACAATAAAATAAGCAAAATGTGGGAGCTCCATCGCCGGCGGCAAATTCATGCGACGGCAATTATCTTGTCAACAGTGTGAATAGCTGTAGTGTGAATAGTGTAAAATCTGAGCTCGGTCCAGAAAAGCAAGAAAACGGCGATTGCCCTACCGGGGCTAGGGCTGCTAGTGTGCAGACCGACCTCTCGGGCGTGCCGAAACCAAGGAAACAAGGATACAGAGGGCGTCGTGGTAGGGTGGCAGGTTGGTTAACCCCTTTGTGAGCGAAGACAATGCACAGCAAGATAGAAAGATAAAGCGGAGAGGACACGGAGCGTAAACATCAATTAGCAACAATTGCTGTCGGGGCAGGCTGTGGAATTGAAACCCGGTTTGCGGGATGGCAATGGTCTAGACTCTTCTCTTATGTATGGTAGTTGACAGCGACATGGGTCGTTGGACATTGACAGCTTGACAACGGCATCCGAATTCCCAGCTTCTGTTATATTGTTCGTGGCTATGACACATAGGTTGCCCACCATCGCAATCGATCCGCACTGTTCTGTATCGAATACTATTCGTTTTCGATCGGATCTGATCTGAGGTGTGATAGAGTGAAAAAAGGGAAAAGTGAGGTAAAATGTGGCTACATCTCCCTTGGCTGAACAACTCCAATGGTGCATAGGCGCAACTCGATCTTGCGCTAGCATCGGTTGGGCTGCTGTCGTGGTCTCCAAGTAGTCCTGATCAACACCACTCGTCGTAGAGGAGTCGCTGTATTTCGTACAACGACGTCGTATGCGGGTAAGAATCTAGATCCACCATCCATACGACACCTTGATTTCCGATGCAGAGCGATCCAGTTCCATCTACCGGCGTCTTGTTCTGATTTCTTTTTCTTTTCGTCTCTCTTCGCTTACCGTCCCAATGGCAAGGCAAAAGAACCAGTAGGATAAAGAACGTTTTTTTCCGCAATGTTCGTTTCCCTGTCACCTTGTCTCCCCTTCTCCTCCTCATCCCCTGCTTCTCGCCTCTACTCTTCTTAACATCTCCGCATCCCCATCCCCTCAACGACTTCCTTGCACCAGGCCGTCCCAAGATCAAGGAAGCGGGAGGCCTAAATTAGCACAGCTGAGTAGATGAGGGCGCGGCCGGCCCCCCCCCCCCCTGCCTCTGCAATTTTGTTGCCGCGGCCGCCTAATATCTCACCCAGCGCAACGAGCTCGCAAAGTGCCCCCTTTTTTGTTGAATTTCTCTGTAGCTTGGATTCATCGCCATGGACCAACGCACGCTAAGGCCCGCTAGCATTGGCCTTAGGGTGAGTATCCGGTGGATTCCCATCGCGGACGCCGTAACTCACAAACCTTATAAAGCTACGTTGGTCTACGAATAAATACCACCATACTTCCTAGGCTCGCTAGGGTCGTATGGACTGAACGATCCCGAGAAACTGCGCGGCTGTCGCTGTCTGCACTTCTTGGCCTCCGGATGTCGCTTTTGGAGATGAAAATGCCAAGGTTGAGTACGACACGAGCTTGATGTTAGTACAGCAGACTGTTATTGATCATAGTGCTTTCAATCAGCTGAACGAAGTATGAGCAAAACAAAGGCATTGCCTTGTCCAACATCAAAACGTAACAAAACCCGATATCGTTCAATGGCAACTGTATGCACGACGTACACTTGGTGCTAAACACCCTAGTGTCGATCGTCTCGAGACGATGATCTGCTCCTCAAAGGTTTCTTGCGTCTTGCGGCCGTCGTTGATGTTGTTGTTATTGTTGTCCGGACTGTGTTGACGTAAAACAAGAAACGCAACAAATTTAACAACAGCCACATAATATCAAGACTCAAAGACAGCTGTTTACGTTGCTATTTACCGATGGCGGATACCCGAATATCGGCTAAGGCGATAAAAATGGAAAATGTACGAATGCAACTGTTTGGGAGCGACGGTTGAAAACTACGAGTACACGGGAAAAAAAAAGAAAAGAAAACAAAAGAAAAGAAAACAGAAGAAAAGAAACGGCAATCACCCAAATCTCGAGTGTAAATGCTCAGTTGCCGGAGGCAGTCTTTGGAGCACAGCGTGGGTCGGAGGATGTACTACGACTTACAAAGTATCTGCGTTTGCTCAAAGCTGTCACTCTAGAGCACACTTGTATTGGCACACAGCCCTGCTTTCCTTGGCCAACCCCCTGTCTAGAGCATCGACTCGATATCAGCTGAATTATGCAAGCCAAATGATGCCCTGGGTTCCACCCCCCTTTTTCGGCGAGGAAACTCTCGGCGTGGTGGGGGTGCAAGTCGTTTTGTTTTGCAGATTGGGAGAGTGAGAATAAGGCGACGAAAAACAGTAAAAAGAAAGCAACTATCGTCCTAAGTATATCGTAGCCATTCAATTGGCGGCAAACATTGACAAACATTGGAAACCCTGATGCACATGCTGCGGCTCAAAGTGACTTTCTAAAAGGAACACGCCAGCAGCCAAAGAGGAGACGATCAAAAAATGGACCAATAATGAAATATGGGCTGTGCAAGCAGCAAAGAAACCAAACAAACAAAAAACCGTTGGCGCTAAACTACAAAGTAACGCCTTTTCGTTCTTGGCCGTCGCCGCCGCCCATCTCTTTGATTCTTGCACCCCACCGTAGACAAAATCAAACACGCACCGTACGACCGGCAACTGCCTTGAAAGTAAAACGCCATTCAGGGTTGCTTTGTGTATGGTATGCGCTTTTTTTTTTTTCTGTCGGCCGATTGGGCTCTGACCCCTGGGAACTACTGTTAAGGCTTATTCACCAATTCTCCCAGCAAGACGCCAAAGAACCAAGGGACCACAAGGTCCCTTTCCTTCCGTTTTCCTTCCAGGTAACTGCCCCTGGTCTGTGCCTTATCAGCATACCAGCAACTCGGTATGTCTTCTGAGCTTTGACGCCGACGGGCTTCTTCGGCATCCTACTCTAGTTTGTACCCGAGCATTCGGCGCAGCCTTACGTGCCCTGTCGTAGGTATTTTTACTTTGCACATGCTTTTCCAGCCGGTAAACTTTACACAGAGGAAGCATTTTACTGGTGTGCAAATAGGAAAGCCTTGGTGCACGAATGTTGCGTATCGCCCTTTTGTTTTGTCTGTTCGTTTAGTGTAGAACGAGGACAAGACAGCGGTTGTGTAGAAGGTAAACAACCAAAAATAAACAATCCAGACACAATAGAATGATAAAACAACACATACTTTATACGTGGTCCGAGTCAGGTGCATTTGTTGCCTGTATTGCAGGTGGCATCATGCGATGTATCACAAATATATGGCAACCTCTAGAGCCTACACTACTGAGAACAATACGGCATACAACCTCACAAGCCAGCTATACCCCTTTCGTCTCGTTCAAGGCTCAGCTTTGATTAATTCCAGACTCTCACCCTTGCTGTGAATCCCTGGACGGCGTGGGGTCCAAGAAATATAGTGTGGTTAGCCAAAAGAGCTGCTGAGGCCGTGTCGGTATCTTTCCTTTACCTTTCGTTTTTGTTTTAGTTCATTGTCCTTTGCCTCCTTCGTTCTGCAGGACCGGCCTCTTAGTCTAGACAACTCCACCCGCCAAGAGGCCCACGTCCTCTGGTATGAAGATAACGGAGACTGGAGAGTACTGAGTATGAGTTTACGGAGCACACGCCCCCATTTCCAATTCCTTAACTTCGGAGAAAGGGAGTGTGTCGTATGTTTATTCGGGACTAGAGGAGGAGACTCTCGTTGGCTCTGTTCACTATTCACTGTTCACCGTTCACTGTTCATATTTCGGTCTCTCTTTGACCTAGCTCCCACCGCCACAACCATTCAACATACATCCTTGTCCCCACCACCATAAATATGTGCTCCTATCCATCCTTGTATTGACACGTGCGACAGAGTATAGTCTCTTTAGCTGGTCAAAACCTGTATTTTCGGTCATTATTTACCAATTGTCGTTCTTTTAGGTTTTCCTGCTCCAGGTTTTTTCTTTCTTTTCTTTTTTTCATATCTGCTCTCTTTCCAGGTTTTACCATCTTATAGTTCTTTTTTGTTTTCTTTCATACAACCTCAAACACTCTCAACCAACGTCACCAGCGGCGTTCTCGTCCTCGCCCAGACCTCGCCCAGACTTTGCCCCCGCCTTTGCTCTAACCTGTCTATCTACGTACCTTCTAATTAGGTTCCTGAGCGCGCCAAGACAAGACGACACTCCCCTGGCTGTGTCTCGAGACTTTGTCCTGAGACCCTTGTTTATGGAAATTCCCTACACGCCCCCCAGATTCAACGTAGCCGCAATTACAACGACATAAGCACACAAGCACATCGACGACTAGCACTGGACGATCAACGTCACCCGGCACACCTCAAGACCTCGAGACCGTGGGACCTCGTGCTTCCTTAGCTGGATTCCCCACTGCGGTCGTGAACACACGGTCACCCGGTGTTGCTTTTGCGGCTCTCCTCGACCATCGCCAATGCCCCCCGCTGCTCTGCAGTCTCGCCTCGGTGTTGGTCAATCTCCGTCTCGGTCTTCACCACTGCCTTTGTCTTCATCTTCTTCCCCGACTTTGGCCGCGCCTTTGACTCATCATGTCACCATCTGCCGCGACCAAATATCTCCGAACTTGATTTGGGTGTGTCTTCCGGCTGCCTAGACCACCTTAGACCACACTGTCGGATCGACTAGGTCCTGGTTTTGGCCTTGATGCAAGCACGCTTCGTCGATCCGTCAGCCCTCGCAACGTCTCGTCTCTTATGGCCTGGACACCGCCGACGTACATCGACATAGCAGCGTGTAAGAGTGTTGCTATCGTCGAGCGTCGAAACCGCATTCCTGTGCTAGCTCGTATTTGACTCTTGACTTACTCTTTCCAGCAACCCTCCCCCTCCCTCCAGTCCTCCTTCCACGTCTGCATTGGGATACTTTTTCTATATCATCACCACTTCCGCCCTCGCTAACCATCCCCGGCCACTCTACTTTTCCACGTCCCCTTGTTCGTTTTTCAACCTCGCATCATCTGCTTCATCTGTGGCATTACATCGTACTTTTTGCTTATTCGACCTTTTGCTTTCCTTTCTCCGTGACATCCCATTTATCCCTTTGACCTCTTCCCCAACCATTTTCATATTTGCCTCACATTTTTCACTCACGATTTGGGATCTTGCCGTTAGGCTTGGCCATACTGGACTTTTCTCTTCGTTCTCTCCTTGTTACTTTGTTAAAAGCGACAAAAGTCCCCCAAAATTCCCACAGTCCCCCCAGCTCCCTCCGTCCTTTTTATCCCTCGTCGTCCTTCCTTGTTTTATATTTTTATTTTATTATATATTTTTCTCATCTGCATCTCACCATCTTGAATGGACTCTACGACGAAAGGACTGTAGATGACACACACACGGGCAGAGGGATATCGAACTTTGTGAACCACGATTTATAATATTGGCACCTTGCACCTCTCTCACCAATCTCTCCATGTCGTCTGGACAGATGACGCCAGAGAGCCGCAACGGCCGGCCACATCATGGCCACGGCCATGCCAATGGCACGGCCGCCAGCGGCACCACCAGCACCACCAACAGCAAGAACACCCGGCGGCCGCAGCAGGAGTGGGCCCAGATCAACGACTGGGAGGTGCATCGCGAGCGCATCACGGAGCTGTACCGCGACCAGGGCCTCCACCTCAAGCAGGTGCAGAAGATTATGGCCGAGCAGTACCAGTTTTATGCGAGCCAGCGCATGTACAAGACGCGCATCAGCAAGTGGGCGATTGACAAGAACTTGAAGGCAGCGGACGTGGCGGCGCTGCTGCAGCTACAGCAGCAGCGGGCGGCGCAGGGCAAGAAATCACGGTTCACGATCCGCGGACGGGAGATTGACTTTGCACGGGTGGACCAATACCTGAAGCGGGACCCGACGCTGCTGAAGCGGTCGCAGGAGGCCAGCAAGAACGGAAACGGCGACGACCTGTTGGGGGACCTGCTGCCGGGCCACATGGAGGCGGCCGGCATCACATGCCGGACCCCGTCGCCGACACCGCCGCCGTCGCCATCGCCGCCGATGCACACCCATGCACAGTACGCTCCCTATGCCCCGTATGCCCCGGCGCAACACGGCCATGGACAGCAGCACCAAAATGTGTACGGGCATGGCGGCCCTGGTGGCCATGGCGGCCCAGGCCACCCGCTGCCACATCACTCGTACGGTCACCCGCACTACCAGAATCATCACTTTGGCTCGCTGGCGTCGTCGACGGTGCCAATCGTGCCGTCACACACACCCATGCCGGTCATGGGCGTAACAACGGCGGGCTCGGCGTTTCCAACGCTAACGTCGCTGTCGTCTGCGTCCTTCTCGACGACGCAAAGCCAAGGAACCACAGCGTCCACGATGTCGACCATGTCGACCATACCATCCATTAGCCTGCCGACGTCGACCGTACCGTACTTGCCAATGGCATCGACGCAATCAGCAAACGCCTTCGACCAGCAGCAGCAGCAGCAGCAGCGTTCGCTTTCAACCAGCTATGACAGCCGCCGCAGCAGCTTGGCCCACCCGCCGCCGCCGCTTTTGACGTCTGTGTCGGTGCCGCAGAGCAGCGTGCCGAGCGTTGTCTCGCCGCCGTACGCGTCTCCCGTGTCGACCGTCCAGGACGAGCTGGCCCGGCTGACACGCGAGTATGTCGTGCAGGCGCTCCAGCACGGCAAGTGGGTGCAGAAGACGGGTGGCGTGTTTGTGTCGACCAAGATGGAGGCGGCACACGACCAAGAGACGGCCGCCGACCGACTGGCGGCCTGGGGCCGCGAGATGCGCGCGGGCCGGCGTCTGATCGCCGACGGCGTGCTGGACAAGGGCTTCGAGAGCGTCAACCGCACAATGGACAGCCTGCGGCAGCACCTGCAGGACGAAGACCCGTCGCTGCTGTTTTATCTGCTGTACAGCACGGCCTTTGGCGTGCAGTGCTCGCTGGACCCGCCCCGGGCGCACGGCATGGCACGTGACAGCACGGCGGCGCTGCGACAGGTCGGCGTGGCCCTCGGCAGCCACGTGCGCTCGCTGACGCACATTGTGCTCGGCGAGACGCACCCCGTGTCCCGCATGATGCGTCTGCTGGTCGCCCGCGACGGCCAGCTGCGGTCACCCGCGCACGCGGCGGCGCTGCCTGTGCCCCTTGCCGTGATGCGCGATCTGCTGGCCGAGCGTGACCCCGTGGGCGTCCACCCGGCGGCCGCGCCGCAGTGCCAGCGGCTGGCCCACCTGCTCAGGCTCGATCCTGCTTCCAAGGCAACACCCGCAACGGACGCCGAGCGCGATGAGCTGACGGAACGGCTGCAGGGCGCACGGAACATGCACACAAAGCTGCAGTTTTACAGTACATACATGACGTTCTTGTCGGAGCTGGTGCAGCAGCAGTACCATCCAGAGGAGCGTGAGTCGACTGTAGCCCCAGCTGCCGGCTTGTCTGGCTTGCCGAGCGTGTCTGGCGTGTCTGGCGTGTCTGGCATGTCTGGCTTCTCTGGTTTGTCCGGATTGTCTGGCTTGTCCACACTGACTCCGACGTATTCGGCGGCCTCGGACAGCGGCACAACGCCCGAGAGTGCCTATACCACGGCGTCGACCACGACGGCAGCCTACAGACATCTCCCCAATGTCAATGTTCACCAGCAGCAGAGAAAGCCTTCCGTTGTGCACGCGTCCCACTCTCGTTCCCCACTGTCGGCCACGTCCGTGTCGGCGGCTTCGTCGCTCGCCAACTCGCCGTCATCGCACGCTGTTGCAGTCCCCATGCCTGCCATGTCCATGTCGGGCGTCTCGGTCTCGTCGGCTCTCATGCCGCAGACGCCGGCTATTTCGACGCCGCGAACTATGGTCACAGGCGCAGTCCAGCACAGTTACGGTCAGGGCCACGCCCACAACCAACATGGTGACAGCCAGCACGGCAACGGCCAGCAACGTCACTCCCCTTACACGGTGCAATCGCATGCATCGGCCTACCCGCCCGTCCCCGTCCCCTCGACGTTCCACACGCACGCGCCCGCACAAACCAACACACACAACGGGAGCAACCCGGCGGCAATGATGACGGCCGGCGGTTTGCACAATCCCGGGTCGATGTCGATGACGTGGGAGCTGGGTGATGCGGCGAATATGAACTTGATGTAGAAGGTGGGGAGTGTGGTAAGGGGCGCGAGATAAGACAAGAGGCTTTTTCTACTGGGTTCCATAGCGTTTTGAATTGGGGACATTCTGAATTGAGCGGGAAAACGGAGTATTAGATAGGACGATACGGTGATTGGAAACAAGGATGGGATTATGGGGACATGTGGACATGCGTTAGGATTTGTTTGTAAGTACGGTATTTTCTCTATAGCGCTCAGAATTCTATTTCCATCATAGGCTACTGATTCTTCTCACTACTGGTTGTAAGACATGTGTTACTTCACTTCCTATGACCCATTGGCCCTTGTCAATGTGAAAGCGCCTGTCGCTAAGCAATGCCGCCGTTATCGTCCCACGCCACGACCGCCCCATCTAGGACGAACTGTGTTGAAAACCGCAGATGTTGCTACGTCTCGCGTCATCCGGACGCACGCTGGTCCAGTGCTGCGTGGGCCTAGTATGTTATAAATGGACAGAAGAGCAAAAAGGATACGTCAAATAAATAAAATCAAAAATCAAAACTCGACATGAACAATGCAACAAAACAACAAAGGACCGTCCAACAACGAAAAAAAATGTGGTCGATCTCGGGATCGATCCGAGGACCTATTAGCGCTCTCCTCCTAGATGGCCACCCCGCCGTCTACGACGACGTTCTGTCCCGTCATCGACTGACTCAGTGCCAGCGTCTTGACCTGGTCGGCCACGTCCTCAATCGTCGCCAGCCGGCGCAGCGCCGTCTTGTCCGTCGCCTGCTGGATCTGGGCGTCTGAAAACCGCCGGCCCCATTCCGTCATCAGCAGGCCCGGACTCACGGCGTTGCAGCGCACCTTGGGCCCGCACACGAGCGCTAGGCACTTGGTCAGGTGGATCGCCGCGGCCTTGCTAACCGCATAGGCCACGCTGCTGCCGCTCGGACGGACGCCAGCGAGGCTGGCCACGACGACGAGGCTGCCGCCGCCGTCTGCTTGTTCGAGGAACGGCTTCGCCGCGTGCAAGAGCCAAAGGTGCGACTTGACATTGGCGTTGTAGCAGCGGTCCCAATCCTCTTCGCGCAGCTGGTCCTCGAGGTCCATAAAGTCCGTCACGCGCGTCCAGCCGGCGTTGCTCACGACCACATCCAGGCGGCCCATGCGGTCGACGGCCTCGCTGACCAGCTGCTGGATGCCCGCGCGGTCGCTGACATCAGCCTGCAAGGCCAGAAACCGGGGTGCGCCCGCTGGCAGGTCATAAAACGAACGAATGGTGGTCGCTTCCCGGATAACCTCGGCGGCCTTTTCCGGGCGCGAGTAGTAGTTCACGACGACGCGAAAGTGCGGTGCCAACGCCTTGACACAGGCCGCGCCGAGACCAGCCGATGAGGCCGTCACGAGAGCGACTTTGACGGGTGCTGACATGGTGACGAGGCGCTTGTGCTTGTGGTTCAGGAATGGTTGACACTGGATGTCGAACCCAGCAAATGAACAACAGCTTCCCCTGTGGAGAGCCCGGCAGCACGAGCGGCTTCGGAGAACCGCCGACTTTGTTGGAGTTCGAGCAGTATTCCGTACGCGGGGTATTGAGCCCCGTAGCGGGTCACAGCCGACAAGGGCCTGGCCTCCCCACAGCATATCGCGCCATTGTCCCGACGCCAACCGCAAGTGCATCTACAGCCGCTAGATGTATGAGCTTATTTTCTCCTTTTCCTTTATATTCCATTTTGTTCTTTCCCTTTCCCTGTTTTATAAACAAATGAGCAACGGAAGAGACTCCAAGGACAAAATCTCGCCGCCGCAATTCACGTCGTCGATAACTTGCTTTCACGCCGTACGAGTGGTCCTCGCTCGGTACGTCAACCAGCATGATCTTGGCGTTTTGTCTCTGGAGGACCTTTATAGTCGTCGACTGTGCTCCTCGGACACTATACGGTCGTCCTGGTCCTGGACAATCACCGTGGGTGGGAAGGCGCTACCCACGTTCAAAATGAGGTCCACCTCGTGTAAACCGAGCCTCTTGTTTTGGACTATGGGAGTACCTTGTTATCGAAGATGTTTAGACATGTCGTATATTGCCGTGCAAAGTGCCGTACACAACGTCACGCCGGAGAAATATGTGGCACAAATTGTACTGAAGTCAAGTGTCATCTTCGGTTTGGTATGTCCCGGTATATGACGAAGGTTCTTCGCTCTGCGGCCGCACAGCCATCTCAATCCGGTGATGGTTCGGGAAGGCAGGCGTATTAACTTTTCTGCAATGGTATACTAATGCTGGTATGCGGTCCATTGAGTGGATGACATAAACTCGATGATAAATCGAAAAAACCGATATCACATGCAGATCCAGATTGTCGGTTACACACAGATTGACCGTTTTTAGGAATGGACTTTAGGACGTGGTCTAGGCTCGTCAACACATCACCATCGCTCTTATATACCCACTCCTTGCAGTGTGTCTACACCGTGTGGTGGAGATTAGCATCGGAGTGGAAGTACGACGATGTGCGGCTTACAAGGCTGACGCCAAACTGGTTAGGCAAACGAGCGTTCGGAGCCAACCTTAAATAACCAACCGATTTGAGTCGAACTGGCAACACGGAAAGATCTGCCATGATCCGAGCAATATGATCAATGCGGGTAAATTTAACATGTTCGGTAACTTTGACAATATGGGCAAACCGTGGAGTTGAGGCTCTTGAGGCTCAAAAGAGCTCGTGACCTCCGTTTCATAACGGGATGCAGGCAATTAGAGTAGAACGAACTGTGAACCTCTAAACGGTCCGTAGTACAATTACCACCACGGAAAAGGTCGCTCAGCATCGACTGGACTGGTCCTCTGTTGTTGTTATACATTATTATGTTGGGTGACATTGATTTTGGTGATGACATTTTGGATGTGTATCCTGGTAAGGCCGGGGAGTCATAGTTGCAAATGTAGCTAATAACAAAGCGATGGGGAAATTGTCGAAGCAAGTGCAGCGAGTGAAATGGAAGAAAACGTGGACAAGAAAGGGAAAAAAATCCGAACCAGATTATTTTTCAAGACATTGGGCGCCATTGTCCGCATCGGCGACATCCGATAAGCATAACAACGCCTTGGGCGGAGAGGCGTAGGGATACTTGAGTGGAAGTCGGCGATTTCAGAGCGGTGTTGCCGACAAAATGGAAATCAAAACGGACGAGGAGACAGGAAAAATCCGTCGAAAATCTATAATGGGCTGGGCGGCAGATAGTGTTCTGCCCAGTACAGTTGATGCTGATAATTATTGTCGCTTTCATGTGCAAAAAAACATAAGATCGTCAACGAAATTCGTCCTAGTTTGCAACCTAAATGCCAATGTCTCGGATCAACCTGCGTCCAACAAGGTAGCCCTGTTTCCCACTCTGAAGACTATCCCTCGCGGCTACCCCTCTTCATGGAGCCTTTTTAAGTTACCACGTAATACCGTTTTTTCTGCGCGCGTATTTGGTGGTCTACTTTCTCGGTTTACCTTCTTTGTCTTCCCGGCTTTGCTAACCGTTTATGTCTCTATAGAATAGTAGTTTCATTTGGACGGCGTGTCTTGGCTCTCTCGCTGTCCTCGAAAGCCTCCGTAGGTCCACATCTAGAAATGGTACCAAGGAAACACGACTTGCGAAGGTTTACACGCCCCCGTTCAGCTGGACCGCCAGGGCGATCATTGATCATCCCCACAACCGGGCTTCTCTAGTTCACAGCCAAACCGTGAGATTCTAGAACAAGGGCCGGAGCTTTATCGCCCTCAGCTTATAACCGTTTAACGCTGCTCCCCAGCTTCAGGCGCGTAAGTAGACAGCAGACAAAGAAATAAATAAAAGTTTTGACTAAAATTGGGTAACCACACCGGCGGCAACAAACCCTACCAAAAGGGAAGTTGTAAGCTCGAGTCTACCTACGATATATAACACGCTGTGGTCTTGGCACATCCCAAAACCCACTTTGCCCAGCACTCGTACGATCACGAAAAAATGTTAGAATATGAAAAAAAGAGCAGTGACTTGCATGTGGCGAACGGCAACTTGCGTGGAGCATGGTTGTCCGCTTCTGTAGATATGTCAAAACCAAGTACAACGCGACAGCCGTTGGGGAAATGGACACTGTCCTACTACTGAAAACATTCGTACTATATCTCCGTCAGTCGGTGAGCTGAAACCGGTGTACAACTCAATAAACAGCCATCACAGACCAGCAAGTATCAGCCTTGCCTAGACCTAGGTCAATGTCGCCAGGAAACAGTCCAACATCTGCCCTTTGCTAGTGGCGACTTTCTCCATGTGCTCTTAGCAGCCGGACAAGTGGATGCCTCTGCAGCCCGTGAAGTACAAATCTTGACTATGCCGAAACTCTCGAATACGAGCCTGCTCTCCTTGGCACATGCAAACATGGACTGAGTCAGACTAGGTAACTGAAGAAAGAGGAAAAGAGAGAGCTCGACGCAGAGGTGTGTGCGTGTGTGGTGTATGGTGTAGGGTATCGTGGCATGCCAGGGGGGAAAGGGGAGACGAGCGCGTGGGGCGAACCACCCGAGCTGGAGTGAGCTTAACCTGTGTTCCAAGCCCAAGGGTTTTTGATAACTAGGTGCGTAAGGGATTAGAATATGACGAAAAGACCCTGCTGTGTACCTTTGTTTGTGGACATACCCTCGCTTGGCCCTCGTTGCTTTTCCTTTTTCAGCCACGTCCCTCTCATTCTTCAGCTCAAAAGGGCAGGAGAATTAAGGTCAATCACACGCCCCTCCATCACAGTGACCAAGGCGTCGACAGTGGTTTGATCACGTACTGGTACATCTGCACTCTTCATATTTGCCAATAAAGGTTGGGCGTGAGTGTATCAACAAAAACGACATCAATCAACCGTTGCAGAAGCTCAATTGTCTGTAAAGTTCACAGAGGCGTGAATGCATTAAACAAGGACGATGGAAGGAGAACATGAAATGGGAGACAAATAACAGAACATCATGATGGTATTGCATTGGTATTGAACAGCGTATAAAGTGTCCTCGGGCTCTGGTGGGCCAGGCCGCTATCAGTAGCCACCACCTTTCCGCGCCTTGTGGTGTCGGTGGTCATTGTTCCTGCTCCGCTGGTACGGCCCCCAGTTTGGGTCACCGCTGCCACCGCCGCCGCCCTGCTTTTGGTGGTTCTGGTTGTTGTGGTGGTTGTGGTTGTTCCGTTCGCGCCTAGATGGGGCATGGCTCCGGTTGTTGTTGCTGTTGTTGTTGTTGTTGCCGTTGTGATGATGGTTGCCACCACCACCGCCGCCGCTGCCGCGACTTGGCTCCGGTATAAGCTCGTCCACTTCAGTCTCCACCTCGGTGTATTCCTCTTTGAAGTACTCATTTACCTCGGCTTCCTCTTGCCGCATCCTGTCAACCTCAAATAAGAAGCGCATCGTGCCTGCATGCTTTCGCGGTTTCACAGACGCCCCGAAAACTCCAGAGGAACCACCGCCAGCGGCACCACCAGCGTGAGGCCCCGACCCCGTTGTGGCCGGCGATCTGTTCGAGCCAGGCGTCTGAACGGTATTGCTCCCGCCATGGTTGTCCCCGCCACACTGTTCATACCAGGCGTCGGTCCGCTGCAGGTCCGGGTCGTCGTCGACCTCCTGGTTGATCTTGATCTTAATGTCAATAAACCGGTTGAGGTCGAATTGCGAGCCGACTTTTGTGCTCTTGGTGAATTGCGTATACAGGTCGAGTAAGTCGAGCAGCGTCTCAACGACACAGCTGCGACTCGTGTGATAGTAGCCGTCGCCGCCGCCGCCAGCCATGCTTGATTTTGCGGTTGTCAGCTGCCGCACGGGGTCCAGGTGCTTGTCGTCGAGGATGCGCGCCGTCAGCTCAATGGAGGCCAGTGCCATCGTAAACGACGTCTGCTTGATGGGCGCAAACGTCTTGTACAGGTCAATGGACATGGGATAGGCGACACGTAGAAACGTCCGGGCGTCCTCGGCAGGAATCAATTGACGGATCAGCTTGATGAGCAGCTTCTGCGGGTAGCGCACGCGGAAATCAAAGCCGACCGTCTGCAGGATCAGCCGATCCAACCCGACAATGATGGCCGACGGCCGCTCAAAGATCTTGTCGTCGGGCGTGGTCGGCTTGTCCGGGTTCTTGAGGTTGTAGGCGGCGCACAGCACCTCCTTGGACTTTTTGATCGTATCCTCGACCTTGCAGGCGACAAAGAGCGCCGACAGCGCGGCGTCCTGGAAATTGTACTCGGCGTCCCGGAAATTGAGACGGAATTTGTGGTAGTAGGTGCAGGCGGTCGCAAATGTCTTGACAGGCAGCTGCAACGCCTGGCGCACATTGTCAATCAGTTGAACCCCCTGGAGCCGGTAACTATCCTCTCGCGCAGGGTCGCATCCGGTCTCGCGCTGCAAGGTGCGCAGCTGTTGCTCAAGCATATACTGGCTGCCGACGGCAATGTAGCCCGGGTTGGGGCCCTTGACGGGCGGGTGCTCTTCAGTGATGACTTGGGGTTGTGATGGTGGTGGCGGATAGCCATTGTATGCGTTGTGTGCGTTGTGTGCGTTGTGTGCGTTGTGTGCGTTGTGTGCGTTGTGTGCGTTGTGTGCATTATGCGTGCTCTTCCCGCTGCCGCCGCCGTTGTTCTGATTGTTGCTGTAGTTGTTACCTCCACCTTGACGAAAGCCACCTCCACCTCCTCCACCACCATGTCTCGGGCCGCGTCGGCCCATGGTCAGGGTTGTGCGATTCCGTTCGCGCGTTACGTAGCCAGCTATCGAGCGCTTAACGAGCAATGTCTGAACCAACAAGCGCCTAGCGGCGGTCCTTGTACGTGAAGGTACTACCACAAGTTTTGGTCGTTGTCTACTCGGTACGTATCGGTTGTCGACGCGGCTCGTGTGGAGCTAAAGATTGATTGCCAATGCTGGCCTCGGCAGCCGTTGTCGGATCGAAGAGGTGGATGGGCATCAGCGGCACTGTCGTGATGGATTTAACGTCACATGAGAGTATTAGAGAACGCTGTGCTTCGTCGGATTTGGGTGATAATGCGCCGCGGCGCTGTTTCGCTTGGCACCAACCGAAGTGGAAAGGTCGTGATGTCGTCGATGAATGCACGTCGTGTGCGATGCCCTTTGGAAGCCGCGTCGCGCGGTTTCCTTATCAAACGGCATTTTCTGCCGCCATTACTGTACGCAGAAGGCGGTGAAGGAGGCCTATTCCTCCTAAGTTCGTAAACTGCCCGCCAATGTCCGCCACAGTCGCTGTAAATTTAGCGTGCAGTAGCGCCATATAGGGCCGTGGCTGTGCGCCCCTCTCCCCTCAAGAACACTGAAGTCATCAGCTGCAAAGTCGCAGAGCCGCAAGGCTTAGTTGTGTCAGTCGCTAACAATCCAGGAGAGTGCTGACTTATGACTGTAACTCGGACGGAAGCGTCGTATCTGCCAACGTCTCCAAGGCTGACTTGGCAAATAATGCGACGTACTCTGCATCTTACGACATACGAATGTACCGCATCGTCCGGTTCACCACGAAATACGCCGTAGAAAGTTGAAAACTTCGTCATTGCGTATAATGCACACCTCCAGTTGCAGACAAACTGACTTGTGTCGTCTGTCAATCACGTCGACTGCCACCGCCGATCCATCGACCAGTTCGGGGAACTTTCAGCAAGCGGCTACTTTTTCCAGTACCCAACGGCCACTAAAGCGCTAAAGATGGAGAGCCGAGATCGCCTGTGACGTCAAATCCACTGAGCGAGTGACAACAACATAGTACGCAACGAGACCAGCCGAAAACGGTGCAAGGGACCAGGCACACGCCGTCACAGTTTTTGGTTTATTGTTCAGTAAACGCGGGGACGACACGGGGGTTCCTCCCATTTCAAGAGAACTGACAACCTCTGGCGAATTCATGACACAACAACTCTCATCGACTGTACCCATTCTTCAGTCACTTTGACGGCTTCGACAAATTGAACCTCATACCGCATTGACACTGCCCGCCGTCTCATGAATAGCAAGCATGCCAACCGAAGCAACTGACACAGATGCCGGCCCACCGCCCGGACGCCCGCCGGCGAACACGGCGGCAGCGACTCTGAGCGCACCACAGTTGCATGCGCTCTTTGACATCCTCACACGCTATGAGACATACTATGAGGTCCAAGACTTTCGCGATCCTGACACGATCTTTGCCTATGGCACACCGTTTGTGGAACGAAAGCCGCCGGCATCAACGGGCAACGGTAACAGGGACCAGCAGGAGGGCAAAGATGAAAACGATGCGACCGGCAGCACGCCGACCAATGTGGTGTATGCCCGGCAGTCCCGCTCGCCCATCCTGCACATGCTCTTTAACAAGACGGTCATGACGTTGCCGCCCGCACAGACACTGCCGCCAGCTTTCTGGCATGTGCGCGTGCAGGGCATCATGGCACAGCTGGCCGAGGCCGAGCTGTCGGAAAGCTACGACCAGGGCGCCATGGGCACGCGCAAGATGCTGGCGACGGCCGCATCGGCGCTGGTCGAGTCGCTGGGCCGAGGGGCCTTGGGCGGGTATCCAGCACACCCCACTTCCAAGCAAGACAAGACGCTCACGGAACGAACGTACGACACAACGAACACCGCCGACTTTGCGCGTGCGTGGGACGACGTCCTGCGCGCCGCGGTCTATGACAACCTTGTGGACGAGCTGTTTGCGTACGCTGCCACGCACCCAGACATGGAGGGCCACTCGCCGGCCGTCGCCGCCGCCGCGGACTACATCATTGTGCACATCGCCGAGTTCCTCCACTACGTGTTTGTGCTGTCACCCAACGGACGCTACCTCACGAAGCTCGTCGACAGCGTGCAGCTACTGGTCCCGTACTCGCTCGTGCGCCAGACGCTGCGCGTGAGCAACGCGGCGACCATGATCAACGGTATGATGAAGCTGCTGCTCGCCAAGCTGAGCGTGGGTGGCCTTACCAACTGGATTGGCTTGACGTCGACGGCCGACGACGGTATGAATCTGCTGCAGCGGATCGTGTCGCTTGTGCTGTCGTACGACGCGTCCAATTTCAAAAAGGCGGCCGACAAGATCGAGAAGGAAAAGACGGCGTCCAAGGCACAGCTGGCCGCCATCCGCGAGCACTTGGCACGGCCGCGGGCCTACCACGAGGCGGTGCGAAACGAGAGCCTGACAAAGGCCTCCTCCGCCAACGACGGGTACCACGCCTCCATGGTGGTCGCCATCCTCGAGTCGGTCGATCCCAGCCTGACGTCCTCGCTCACCGAGTCCCAGCACGCACAACTCGCACAGTACTACGCCGCGCTGCTCTCGGTATACGACCGTCGCGAGCTCACCAACGTCTTCTGCCGGCAAAGCCCCGACTTGTTCACGCAGGCCGTGCGCGACGGCGTGGCTGCGTTCGACCCCATCATCCGCGGCATCCACGACAAGATTGACCTCAAGGAGCACGTCAGCGACATTGAGGGCTTCATCAACGAATTCATCGAGATCAGCAAGGGCACCAAGCCGGCGTCCAAAACGTCGAAAAACGAAGACCGGATCCTCCCCACCATTAAAGACTACGTGAAGCTGCTGCGGCGGAATCGGCATCTGCTGTACAAGTGGTTGCATCGCGTCGCACACGACACGCCCGACATCCGGGAAACGTTCCGCAGATGGGCCATTGAAACCATCAAGATGTTCCGGGGTCCAGGTGCGCCAAAATCGGCGAACCGGGACGAAACGCCAACAGCATCTACAGAAAGGAAAAGCGACCTGGGTGATTCACGGCTGGAGGGCAGTGCTGGTGCCATGGACCCCGACCTGCGTGCCCTCTTTGCGTCCCTACCAGCCGATGTCCAGACCAACGTCGTTTCCGTGCTGGATGAACAGGTTGCCTACCTTGCCGCGCTTGATGAGGCTGCCGCACAACAGCGACAAATCCTGCTCGACAAAATCAATGCGCCATCCAGCTCGGCCGAAGACGAGAGTGCCTCCTCCTCGTCCCCCTCCTCAAAACAAGCCCCAGGCTCGGGTCGCTTTATTGCCCGCTGGCAGGAGCTGCTGGACGATACCGTCATCGGCCCCGGCACCGCCTATGGCCCTCTGCGGCACGGCAAGGACGTCGCCCACATCACGGCACCAGGCAAGACGGGTGCAAGTCCCTCTGGTGCCGGCAACAGCGGCGGCCCCAACGGACTCATTGGTGGCGGCAGCAACGCATCGTCCTCCAAGAGCAATCTTCGCAAGTTCGACGGCGGCTTCCTAAGTGGCATCTCGAGTGCCCTCAGCAGCCACAATACGTCACCGGAGCGGACGCCCACGCCCATACCAGCATCGGCGGCAACGCCCGGCCGCATCGATGTCGGTCCCCGGCCGCCCAACGTACTGCCTGTAGTGGACGCTCTCGGAACACAGTTCCGGCAGTTGTTGGTGGAACGGACGTCGAGGGCCAACGGAGCCGGTGAAGGACAGTAATTAAAGTAGAAGGTCATGTACGATAGAAACGACAAGGTGAAACTCTTGGACACGGCGGGCAAACCAGTATTTTCCACTTTGTCCTGTATTGCGTTTGGCATTTACATTACGATACGATGAATTGATGGCATAATACATAATTGACCAACTACTACGCATCCTTTGTGTTCTTTTCTCTTATCCAGCGTAATACGGTGATCTACACCGGTTTGACGTACAGTTATCTATGAGCTGTTGATTCTCCGCCGAGAAGCTACAGGCCATAAGTAAATGCAGTTCGACGTCACATTGAAGTCACTTTATGAGGCTTTATTGATTGTATTATGGAAAATGATCTTGTGCCCTAAATGCCTATCTCCAAATAATTCGAGACTCGATTTGGATTCACCTTTATTCTGCCTTGTGCATTCCAAGTTGCTCCAAATGAAAGAATAAAGAAAGCACTCGGTATTAGTACGACTGAGCTACAAAGACAAGATGCAGCACATTTGTCGGATCCTTGTGCATGTTTGCTCGAATTTCATTGGTTTTGGCATGTGCTTGTGCCTGACTTGTCAAACGAAAGGTAATCTTCACATGCGTACCCACTAACAGTGCATGCCAGTGACGTCATGACATAAGCGGGTCCTCGAGCTGCAACACAAAGCTTTCAAGCTCCTGCTGTTTTCCCTTTCTATTGAAAAGACGATTGGGAGGAGCTCTTTACATCAAAACAACATATCGATTTGCAGCTTCATTGTCGTCGCTTTACGCACGCCAACACGTCCGACAACAAAAACACCTCCCGTTTTAACCGCAACGATGCCATCCGACGAAGGCTACTCACTCAACCCCATCACGCTGGGCTTCCAGCTGTGGCAGGGCGCCATCGACCGATTCCTGTCCCCGGCCGCTCCGGATCCGAACAAGAAGCTGCGCCGGCCCAAGGTGGCCATCATCGGCGCCGGCATCACCGGCGTAACGGCTGCGGCGCACTGTGTCGGCCATGGCTTTGATGTCGTCCTCTTTGAGGCCGGCGGGCCCGACCACCTCGGCGGCATTTGGAGCCAAGTCAACGACACGTCGGGTCTCCAGATCCACTCCGCCATGTACCGCTTCCATCCGTCCGTGCGCTGGCGGCGCGGGTATCCCAGCCGCGCCGAGATTGTGGACCAGGTGAAGAAGCTGTGGGAGCGGTACAACCTGCGGTCCATGACGCGGTACCATGTGACGGTGGACAAGGTGTACCAGGACGCGAACGGCCGCTGGGTCATCAACAGCCCGGACAACGGCCTGTTTGAAGGCGTCATCGTCGCCATTGGCACGTGCGGCGAGCCCAAGAAGCCGCACATTGAGGGCATGGAGTCGTTCAAGGGCGACATCTACCACTCGAGCGAGCTGACGGGCAAGTCGGCCGAGGGCAAGCGCATTGCCATTATCGGCGGCGGCGCCAGCGCGGTCGAGGCGCTCGAGTTTGCCGGCAAGACAAAGGCCGAGAAGACCTACGTGCTCGCGCGCAGCGAGAAGTGGATCATCCCGCGCAACATTGTCGTCGACGTGCTGCTGTCGTTCAACATCCTGGGCCAGGAGACGGTGTTCTCGCGGATCCCCGAGGGCCTGCTCCGCCGCTTCTTCTACGGCAAGGACCTGGCCAAGATTGCGCCGCCCGAGAACAAGGGCCTCTTTATGGATACGCCCATGGTCAACTCGGACGTCATGGACAAGCTGCGCGCCGGCACCGCCCAGTGGGTGCGCTGCGACATTGAAAAGTTTTCGGAGACGGGCGTCGTGGTCAATCGCCGTGGCCAGGGCGTGCCCAAGAACGGCCCCGGCCACCGCGAGGAGATTAACGCCGACATTGTTGTGCTGGCGACAGGCTTCAAGCGCCCGTCCCTGTCGATTTTGCCAGAGGACTGCTTCGACGAGCCCTACGACCCGCCAAACTGGTATCTCCAGACGTTCCCGCCGACGCATCCCTCGATCTCGGCCATCAACTGGTAGGTGCCACCCCTGAAAGATGCCAAACGACGGACAGAGAGAAAGCCGTGAACGACAATGCTGACATCCCCTTTTTCTAGCACGTACCTCGCCGCCATCGGAACTGTCGGCAACTGGCACATTGGCATCTACACCCGGATCCTGCTCATGTTCCTGGTCGACCCCCTGACCCGTCCCTCGCCGTTCTGGATGGAGCGCTGGATCGACATGACGCGCGTCCTCAAGCAGTGGTCTCCGACCAAGGCCTTTGATTTCTTTACCTATCTGGAGCTGATCTGGTGGTTTGTCTTCTGCATTGCCTTCAACCCTTTCCGCTGGAAGTGGGCTATTTTTGTATTTTTTGGCGTCGGCATCGGTCTGCCGCGGGCCACAATCGAGATGGAGAGCGGGATTCGTGACACGGTCGGCATTACGGAAAAGAAGGGCACCGGACGTGACCAGGGAATAAGCTTCTAATGGACGACGGTTGTTGGGTGGGTATTGGGTATTACAGCAGAGAAAGACACTGGACTGATCGGTTCATCTTTGCAAGACACTACGGCAATTGGGCAATTGGGCAATTGGCATTGGGGCAATGGGTCGGTTAGATTTTAAAAGACAATAAAACATGGAGTGCCGCTGACAGATAAACGCAGCTCTTTACGCCTACTTATCGTGCCTCTTTGCATTGGTCTGTGACTTGAACTGCGTAAATTCGTAACATCTCTACACTTTTGCTAAATCTCAACTGTAACTGACAAGGTTGTGACGAAGATGTGATTCCATAATGAGATGGAACGGTCATTCACTCTAATAGTGCAGTGACCCCGTGAATGAACTCAATTCGCTTTGGAAGATAATGACTTCTATTGATATTTCCGTCACTCGCCTGACATCCTGCCAGACGTCGACAGTTCAAAAAGGCACGTCTCAAAACGGTAACGAACAAACAACAAAGAAAAAGAGAAGATAAAAAGGGATACAGCGAAAAACATACAACAGCACACGATTTTTCAAACCACAGACGGCACCATGTGTGTCCAGTTCTATCTTATTTTCAAGTTCGACTGTGGCCACTACCATGTTGACACGATGGAGAGAGAGTACTGCAATTCCATGTTCTGCCACAGGACGACTGCAAAAGCGCACAGGATGGTGATCTGTGGCAAGTGTGTCACCTGCATCAGAGGTGGAAAATAGGTGGCAACAGGCGGCATTGTTGGCGCTGTGCTGCGAAGCAAGCCATTCGTTTACAAAATGTCGTTTAGTTACATTCATGAGAGTTATGAGTCATAATTTTACTATTACCGTCTACCGTGTATTTCGAACATGCTCTCCAAGGGTACCCTGAAGAAAGGAACCCAATTATGAGAGAATCTCTTCACCGCACTTGCCATTGTCTTACTGTTCCGCTGCACCCCAGTTCCATGTTCCTTGTTTCTTACTCGGTCAGTGGATGGATCTCACACGGGATATTGCCTTACAGTGTTGACTGGGCTTGCCTTGGCCAGACGTTCGGCTTTGCGCTTCTTCTTAAGGTGGCTTGTAGAAGAGTTGGGGCCCCAGAAGTCGATACAGTCTGCAGAATGATCTGGCTCAACGATGGCTGGTTCAGCTAGGGAAGACTCTCCGCAGGCACTCCTCTCCGGCTCTTTCTCGGGCTCTGGCTCCGGCAAGCCAACGATTTCAAAGTTTTCAGGATCCGGTGGTGGCACTTCGTCTACGTTCGTGTCGGTTCCCACGGAAGACCAAGGTGGCATTGGATCTGTATAAGATGGCTGGTCAGTTTCACGGCACTTCGCGAAGCAGTCTCATACACCCCCCAATCCCACAAAGCGCATACCTAGTCCGTAGTCGACGTACCATCTTCTGCCTCGTCTGTGGCCGGGACGCGGTGCTTGTCCAGGCGGCGCAGCTCATTCTCGCACGCTTCGAGACACGTCTTCTTCTCCACGAGACGCGCCCGCTCGGCCGTGGCCTCGGGGTTCTCGCCGGCGAGATGGCGAATGTCGTCGTCCGCAATGGCATAAATCGTGTCTGGGGTGAAGAGGCCCGTCAGCTTGCTCAGCAGACACTGCTCGACGACGAGGACGCTAACATTGTCGACGAAGCTCTTGAGGGCGACCTTGTAGTAGGCCTCCATGTAGTCGATGGTGTTGAGGCGGCGACGCGCTGCATGTCGGGCTCGGTGGCGCGCAGCATCTTGTCCAGGAGTGTCTCGATGTTCGAATGGTTGATTGTCTTACCATCGTCATGGCTGTATCTGCGGAGGATATTGTTAAGTGAGGCCCGCAGACGATCGTTTTGCACCTTTTGGACGGTCTCCGTCAGGTAGTGGTTGTACATCACCGGATGGCCCGTGACGTTGGACACCAGCAGCCTGGCTGTCGCGTCCGCCATGTCCTTCTTCAGCGCGGCCATGGCCGGGTTGATGCGGCTCTGCAAGATCTTCTCGGCCGTGTCTTGGACGGTGATGTGGCGCAGGGTGGCGGCGACGGCGGCAAAGCACGACTGCAAGACGCTCTCGGCGCACTCGTCGGCCAGGCGGCCCCAGTTCCTGCACTGGTCCCGGAAGAGGTCACCAACAACGAGCGGGTTAAACGTGCCCGGCAGCTCGCGGCCGCGGGACATGGCCATGGCCGACTTGACCTCGTCGACGTAGTCGTCGCGGCGGATCCATTTGCCGTTGCTGTTCTCGATCCTCTCAGCGCTGGTGGAGTCGCAAACAGTCTTGCCTGTCTGCCCACGACTGTGCATGTCCTTGGCGAAGCGCGTGAGGCGGTTTTGCACGACGGCCCGGAGACGGCGGCGGTAGCCTGCATCGTGTTGTTTGTTGTCCTACGTATTTGGATTTTCTGCGGCATCGTCTTCGTCTCCTTCGACGTCAGCAGTATGTTTCCTCTCCTCCGCCCGCTGCAGCACGTTTCCAAAAAAAACGGCCGCGTCGGTGTAGCTGCCGTTGACAGCCGCCGTGACCAGTGTCGAGAACTGGCTGCTGATGCGCGACAGGTATTGGCGCTGCTCGCCCGCCGTCGCCCGCGGCGAGCCCAGCCGTGCCAGACCCAGGCGGCACTCGGCCAAGAGAGCATCGACGTCCGCCAAGATGGCCGGCAGCTGCGACAGGATGTGGTCCATCAGCATGGTGCTGAGCTTGGGGCGCAGCGGGCCGATGCCCAGATGCGCGGGCTCGACGGCGCGCCATGCGCTTCCGGGGGCCGTGCAAAACGCGGCTTCTTTGGCGTCGCGCTCGGCACTCGACGCCGCTCGCATGGTGTGGTCCCCGGTTGCGGAGGACGTGCCAGCCCAGCTGCAGGTGCACGTCGCGGTTGCGTGCCATCTTGACAAACGCGCGCTCGCTTGATAAATCTTGTCCGTGTACACTGTTGTACCTGGACGTGATTGTGACGTATATGGCACGACATCATTGCCATCCCCCCTTTAATGGTAAACAAAGGTAGTTGAAAACGAATTAGGGTGAAATTGTCGCATTTACATAAATATAGAGACCGCTATACATGATATTTCTTGTTTTGCATCGTTTCTATTTCTTCTAGACATAACCATCACCTTGAAAGTCCACTGTCGTAAATTTGTTTTGTTTTCGGGCTGTCTAACAGCTCAAGTGTCAGCTCCGCTAGTCGTCCTACTGGGTGCACGCTGACTTGTGCGCTGTAGCTGCCACGCGCTGTTGTCGTCTGTTGAAAACGGTGGCGTCCTGGAAAACGACGAATGCCCACAGATTCAAGTAACGGCTATCAACTTGGGCTCTCCACGTTCTACCAAACCATGGGCACACAATCTCATCTTTCAGTACCCAGTTAATCAGCACATAAAAATATGGATTAACGTTTGGCTTTGGTCGACAGATGAGGAGAGGCTATAAGTCGGTGGCAGGAACTGATTTTCAGTGATATTTGCGACGGTCGTTGTACGTAGCGCTTTAAAATGCCCGACACGTTTGTTAATCTGCGGTAGCAGCGGTACAAGATGCATTACAAAGTAAATATTGCATGGTATCCCCGACCACCAAAAGGTGGCATTGTACCACGTACATTCTACGATGTGCAAGCCGGCGACAAAAGGTGAAGTTGGCAGATAAGTCCAATGAGATAACGGCAAGATGGTCTGTAATGCCGTACGGCGATTCATGTTGCAGAATCATTGTGGATGTAGTTTGCAAGGAAGGAGAATAGCCAAGCTGGTAGATGTTGACCGATCAGCGTATTTGCGTACTTGATGTGCTTCTTTTACACCTTTGCCTACGCCGTACTTTCAGCAAACAGGGAACATTTGACATGGAACAGACGATAAAAAAGGACAAAAAATAGTGCACGGCCAATGTCGAAACAGGATGCCAAGTGGTGGAGCCGGATCGGGAAATTGACAAGATCCCTAAAAAGTGAGAAGTGATACATTTAATCCCGATGGAGGGCACGAGGTCGGGGACTCAGGGGAGGGGGGGTCGACGACGTCAAGCTCAAGGCAGAAGGCTCTTCATTTTCCTGAAAAAGGAATCCTCTCGTGGACAGGAAGACGCGGTGGGTCAATATTGCTTGTGCTCTGTCACCCTCTCCTTGTGCACCTGGTCAACTGGTCTACTCATTTTGGCCGTTTGCTGCTAGTGTACGGAGGAATACTTCATGCGTCGTAGGCGTGTCTGTGCCCTCTTTCTGTTTCGACCTGGCGAGCCAGTCGCGCTCTACAAACGATGCATGTCAAATCGGTGAACGCCCCTGCCTGGTCGACATTCCTCCACATTTGCACCATCCTCTTTGCCCGTTCGAGCCACTTGCATGTCCGCGTAGACGGCGAGAAGGGGTGGCATCTAAGCGAACCGACACACCTATCTGCTTCTAGTTAGCAGAAGACGAATGACAGGACAAAAGATCGCGTAGCCCCCTGTATGTGTGTTGTTTTTTGTACATACCACTAAACCGTTCTGCCTTCCTTCTCCTTTGAGACCAAATATTTATTTTTCTGTTTCTGATTGGCCCCGTTTCAGCTCGATGAACTGCTCCCTGGATTTGGCAATTTTGGATAGCCCAAATCAGTCCCATGTGCACCGGCTACTGTAGTTTACACGTCTGTTTGCAGGTCTGCTCATCGGTTTGCTCGAGCCATGGCGATGCATCATCATCATCTTCTTCTTCTTTTCTTCTTCTCACACTCTCTCTCCTTATTTCTCGTCACTTCCATGTAAATGCGACAGATACGACGAATTACGAAGCGAACGCAAAACGTTTTGACCCTCTCTGTGGCGAAAACGGCTCCATTTTTTGTTGCTCCATTCACATTGGAACCTTCCTCAGCACTTCTCTGCTTATGCTTTGTATCTTGTCGACCATACCTCGTTGGTCAACATGCATTAGTCCGTTTCCCCCTGTCAAAAAAAACCGTTGAGAACCACTTCGGAGCTATCCTCTCTGGGACTTTTTTCTTCTTCTTCTTACATGCTTCGGCAAATAGAACAAAAAGAGCACTGAGAAATAGATGTCTTGGAAGCACTCACTCTCTTGCAGTCGTTGATATCACCAGAAAAGGGTCCTACGTTCCGTGAAGTAAATTGCGGCAAACATTAATTTAAATGTACCGTTTCGTTACCTCGAAAATAAACCACAAAAAGAAAACAAAACGTGCCGGGAGAACCGTTACGTGGTTGCGTGATACCCCCAGCTGGGATGGAACCTACAGGGATACCCAGCCAGCCAACCAATATGTTGCAGCCTGTCCTGTGAGGACGGTTGGTGACAGTGAAAATCGATTCCTTTTCTTCCTGTGCAGGAAGGCACATTCATTCGGATGACGATATCCGGTGATGCGTTTGCGGCGCGAAATTGGAGTCTGCCTGGAGCAATGGTGATGCTGCCTTGTTGAGATGACCTGAACGGACAGAACATGTCGCATGTGTCCCGGTACGGTATCTCGTGCTCTAAAAGTCGATCATTTTCTTTTATTGCGTTCTTTCTCGCCGTGCTTTCATCGGCAAGTTCTGCATGAGAGAAACAATCAGCAATCGGATATCGGCCGCCTGCTCACCGAAGCTATACTATGGCATCTATGGCAAACTTGAATCAAGCCAGGCCAGGCTCGCATGGAACTGTCCCTCACACAACCGACAAAGTTCAAAAAAAAGGCAAGTAAAGACTCACCGGTAGTGCTTTGAGGCGAGGACAGCGGGTCTCAGCGGGGGCCTGGCCTCCCCTGTCAGGGTTGCAATGCGTTGGCCTCCCACTTGTTTGAACTTCCGGTCTGGTGTGGGTCTGGGGGTGTATTGACCTGTTGCTCTTCTGTCATTTTGTCTCCCTTTTGCATGATTTTCCCTCAACCCTCGCGTCACCTGGTACGGTCAGGCTCCCGGTATGGAGACACGGGACACCTTTTGCAGCTCAAGCACAGGAGCGTTCGATCACCTGACGAAGGTCCACCTGCGGGCTGTTGGCTGTGACAGAAAGAAGACAATAAACACGGACGATATGGGAGCTCAGGGCTCACCGAGATCACGGCGAATGCTCTGATTCAAGCCAAGGTGGCAAAGTGATCCAATGGCTCCTGACGAATAATGCACAATGTTTTGATCATGCTCTGCAGGTCCTGACTGGGCGCCCTTGCCCTGCAACGGCAATCTCTCACGAAGAAGCCGCGTACTCAAAGCCAGTGACTCTAAGCGAGTGCCATTCTTGTAAAGCACAAATACAGAGCTTGTGGATGCTGTTTTGTGGAGAAGTGCAAAATGCGTCACTCATCTGCCGAACGACGGTACCGTCGGGCGCGTATTTTCATGCAGGTTGATGCCACAGTTGCCGTGTATACGGAGTAAATACGAGGACTGCTGAGTCTGTTCGTTGTGCCATGTGCGATGTGCCATGGGCCCGTGAACATCTCACTGTACGTTTCTTGTTAGTCTGTTGGTTGTTGTTGGCGTCGTCGTCGTCGTCGTTTGTTGCATTGGCATCGCCATAAGAATGTGGAAAGCCAGAATACTAACCTAAGCCGTTTATGAGTGCTTGGATTCCGACCAAATGCAAACTGCCTACATAAGCGCCGGTGGGCATGGGGGGACGGTGGACGGTGGCCGGAGGTCTGAGAGTCACGAGAGTCACTGCAGCCGCGAGGTTCCTCCTGTGGACATGGATACAACGATCTGAAAAGAAGACCAGGGTTGATTGAACCCGCGTCACCAATGTGCGCTCTCATCAACTGCCTGATTTGTTTTTCTTGACCTCCCACAGTCCCCCATCTTGCGGGAGAGCCTTTCCACTTTTGCCATGCTCTTTCACCCCACTTTCTCCGATCTGCAAGTTTTGTTTGGTTGACATTGTGCTTCTCAACGTCTGAGAGTGCCTGGCAGGGGAGTCGGCGCAGAAAACGGACATCGAGAAGTCGAGTGTACAGAGCAAGTCGTACAGCGAGCGAATAAAATGGGTGCCTTGCTGCTGCAGGAGGCAGCTAAAACTGGTTAGCGGTTACCGCTTGTGAAGAGGGTGAGGTGACACGGCATGGTCGACTCTAGATTTACAAACGGTTCATCTGCCTCACGGTGCTGCGTGTGCTGTGTTGCTGTGTTTGCCCTGTACTTTGGAGGTGCCTGAGACCAACACGCCATGCACCTCCTTGGCTGTTCTTGTGAACGTGGGGATTGCGACTTGTCGTAATGGCCACAGCATGCAAAGTGCGCAACCAACTAAATGGGGGTCAGGCATGGGCCATCGACAAAAGAGATGTGGGGGACAAAGTGCAAAAGAACGAGGCCAAACGGGGGACTTGACATGTGGTGGGATATGGAATCGTTGGCCAGAAAGAAGTCTTGGCGATGTCCTGGCTCTTGTCTACTCTGTTCCATCTCCTCGTTTGTGAAACTCGTCTACTCTGGGAGGGGCAAGTAGGTCAGCGAGAGCTTACGCGGAACTGGCACTGTTGATAAGCGTGTGAAGGGGGTGGGATACGTGAAAGGCGGATGGTGCGTTGGATGTGGTTCCAACAGACTCAATACATTCAATAGATTTCAACAGATTCTGGTGAGATGAGGTTAGAGATGGAGAAATTACCGCAGATTCGAAGGAGTCACCGCGGATCGAAGTCCGCTTCGAGGGCCCTGCATGGCGTTCAGCATATGCTGCGAAGAGCCAAAAGTAAATAAATAATAAATAATAAATAAAATTAACATAAAATTAACTTGAGTTAAATTTTTTTTTAAAAAAAAAGACGAGACTAGTCAACACGGACCAGGTAAACGAGGACAGACAAGTGTCATTCGAAACCCGGCATTTTCGATGGCAATCAACAATAGAAGAGACAAGCGAGAACGAAAGCAGTGAGCAACAGATGGAAGCGCAAAGCGCAACCCTGCTGTGTATGATTTTCCTGTGAGATTTCCTGAGAAAAGTAACCTATATATCCATGTAGTGCAATGCGATAATGACAGTGGTACTTTGTGCCCGAGACAATGCACATGGAGAAAACGCCTTGAAAATATTGAGGCGATGTGCTCAAAGCAAAACGAGAGAAACAAACGTACAGTCGCCCCGATCATCGCACAAAAAGCAGATCCTCCGAGATTGGACCATACCCATACCCATAGATGCGAACGAAATAACAAAATCCAAACAAAAAGACAAAACTCCGAGCGAACTCGGCCAGAGATAAGTCTTCCCAAAATTCCAGTATTCTGCCAAAGCAAAAGCAAAGCAAAACCAAATAGCCCAATAAATCAAATATAGCTCCATATTCCCTGGATTTTCCTTTCTTTGCATGCTGGAAAGCGCCGAAACAGCGGACAGCAGACAGCAAACAGCATGAAAAAGACCCAAATGTCCCATGATGTTCCCTCCTTGTATGCTTCTCATTTTTGATGTTTAGAGACCGAGTGTTGGAAAAAAACGCAGGAAAACGACAAGCGCAAAACAAAAAGAGATAAAATAACGTAACCGGAAGATTGCCTTATACTTTGGCCCTCATAATCTGTGCCGTTCTAGTGTATAAAATGTGTGTTTTTTTGGGTGTTTTTTGTTTTGTAGATGTGGGCGTGGGTGTGCCGTCTCGAATTGTACATTGCCTCGTCTCCATTCTCTGAATGCGTGTTCGGTTGGAATAAAATGTTCGAGCGAGTTTTATTTGCCTTCTGCGTGCCGTCCAAATGTGAGGAAGCAATGGTACCCACACTTGGAAATGTGTGAAAGGGCGGACATTCGTAGGCGAAAGGGACGACGGTAAACAAAACAGTGAGTCCCAACGTTTTTGGCCGTCTGTCTTCCACCGACGTCGTATTGTGAGCCGCGTTCCGACTCTCCTGGCGCATTTCTTTCTTATCTCTTATGCTAAGCCCGGAGACTTGTTCGGAAAACAGTAGCCGAAAGCAAATAAGACACAAAATGCCGCTGTTGCAATGACACACATGTGGAACGGAGTTTGCAGGGCGATGTGTGATGTGACGAGAAGAGAGGACAAAACGCTGCGGAGCTACTGCCGCAGAGTCACCGATGCTCGATTCGAATGCCGGCGAATTTTGCCGGATAAAACGGTATTGGAGCCGAAGGTTGTTGCTGTGCCGGACGTTGTCTTGGACGCCTTTGAAGACGATGCGGTAGACGAACTTGCCGACGACGACGGCAACGACGGCGACGACGCCGAGACAGGCACGCCCATGCCGGACCCGGAGCGAGAGGAGAGCGAGAGCGGTGTCATGCTGCCTGGCCGGCACGTCGTTGGCGGCCGGCGGGTGCAGGAGCCCGGGCGGTCGGCGCCGAGCCAGGGCACGAGGTCCAGGTCGCGGCAGCAGTCGTCGAGGCTGTTGATGCCGGTGATGCCGGTGATGCTGATGGGGGCGTTGCTACGGATGAGGTGCTGCCATGCCGGCACTTCTTGTGGACGGCATTGTCCTATTTTGTTAGGAGGGACAGTACACAAAGATTTAGGGGAAAAAAAAAAAAAAAAAAAAAAAAAAAAGGCCAGTGCCAGCCAGCTAGTCCGTTACTCACCACAAATCTCGTCGGCTCTGTATTCAAAATGGGCAATATCGGGCTGGCAGCGCCGGTGGGTGCGTTTGTAGAGGTTGCACCAGCGGGCGGCGATGAACTTGAAGTGGCCGCAGCTGTATTCCCGCTGGGTGAATTCACACATGTTGATACGGTGGTGAAGGAGTACGGCGTAAAATGTGCTGTCGTCGTCGGTGACAGAGTGAGGCGTAATGGTTGCCGGCAGGACGGTAAATGAATCCCGTATCGTGAGATGGTGCGTGGTGGGGAGAAGACGAGGCGTCGATGAGGGTTGGGTATCAAAGTTGCTCAATGTTGTTATTGTCTTTGCTGTGTGCTGCGTGTGCAGTATCTCCGTTATGGGTGTTGACGAAATGCAAGACGACGAAAGTGTCGAACTGCAGGAAGTAGGTTGGGAGACGTGGGTGGGCAAGGGCTCTTATACCGAGTGAGGTGTGGCAGATACGGGATGGAAGAAGAAAAAGAGATAGAAACAGCAAAGATTGACGCCAGTCGAAGGTGACAGGGGTGAATTGGGAACTTAAAACGTAGCGATCCAGATATTTGTGAGCGACAGAACGATAAAATAATAAAGCGAGGACATAAAAACAAGAAGGAACAAAAAAGGAAGCAAAAGAAGCGGCCAGAAGCTGACCCCACGACAGGGACAAGGGGGGGTGGGAATGCTCCTTGTTACTGTGCTAGTTCATTAGTCTGCCTCCTGCCTCCCATCGACGTCGTCCTCCACTATCGGTACAAAGTCACCTTGTACTTTTCTTCTCGGGCTCGTGGAGGAGCGGAACCCGAAGAAGGGCGTGTGCTGATAGGTCACTAATTCTTTTTATTTTCCACGTTCTTCTGTACGCTACACCATTTCAGCTTCAGGCGAATGCCGCACGGATCGAGCCATTCGTCAACAGTCCTTGCCGTCTGCATTGGCAACGACCTTGTGCAGATGCGTGTGATTTAACGAAACATCGCTTGCGGCATACTTGGCCGGCCCGAGGTCATTGGGCGAAGGTGGGCTAGCCAAACGAAGAACGTATCTGGGAAGGAGACAAGAGACGGGGGGCTTTGGTTGGATTAGAAGGCGTTGATCAGTAACCTATGGGCGGGTACACACGGCAAAGAATGGACGGGAAAGAAAAGGGAATTGGTACTTTGGTACCGGAGAAATGGGAGAAACATAGTACGAAGGTAGAGGATTGGAGACCAAAATAATAAAGAACGAAGACGCAAATACTCCACAGTGTATGACCCAAGGAGGGATTGACGGGTGGAGGAGGGGTGTGTCTTGGACAAGGGTGTAAGTGGCATTCCTTTGTGTTTCTGGGAGACTGAATGGCGCCTACGTCGCATCTACGCCTGGAGACGGAGAACCAGAAGTCGAGACGCACTCGAAAAAGACGGGAATCTGAGAACACCGCGGGCAGGTTTCAGGTCCCTTTGAAAGGAATTAAAAAAAAAGGAAGGGGGGGGGGACAAGATGAACTGTTGAAGTATACTTCGATGAAAACATGTCATTGGCTAACATGGTGAGGGAGGACTGAACGGGTACTAAAAGGAAAATGTTCTAGATAAGCGGGAATGAAAGGCGGCGAGGCAAGCCAGACAAGAATATAGCAACATGGACGATGACGGAAACAAGCATGAATTGGAGACGACGAAGTAGAAAGTTGAAATACAGGGGAGGGAGTGGCCGGGGGGAGAGTAAAGAACATGGCAGAAGGTGGCAGGCATTGTAAGTAAAATACTTCCAAAAAGCCACTAACAAGGGTCATCAGAAGCCAAAGAGCGAGGATGTTGTGATCGGGAGGAAACAAATCAAAAGAACGGTGAAGACACAGTTGTCGAACAGAAGGAAGGTTCGGAGAGAGACAAGAGCTTGTCAAACTACCTCATTGTGGCTACTTGTGGACCGTTCTATCGCTGCCCACGTGCTGGAATGCGGGAAAGGTAGGGAACAAGCTCCAAGGAGAGGTGTGTGGAAGAGGGGACACTAAGAAGGGGGAGACGAGGCTAGCTAAATGACTAAATTGATAGTTCGTCACGGGCACCAGGCACTAGCAACAAACGGTGAGAGAGTGTGAGAAAATGTGAGTGAGAGGGAGAGAACAAAGAGAGATAGCGGCCCGTTTCCTTCGGGCCCTACCGTGTACCGTCCGTTCCTTCCTCCAACGGTGTTTATCGAGTCGAGAAGCCTCTGTCCACAAGATCACAAGTCTACAACTTTTGGCCCTCGGCTTTCTGCCATGCTTTTGTCCTTCCCCACCTGCCCAGAACATCAGCTGTTTCTTTTCCTCTCCTTCGTGTCCGTTCACACATGGCAATCACAGGCGGTGTAATACAACATAATGGCCAGCAAATCCTTCGTCGCAAGCTCTGTAGGATAACGGATATACGCCGTAGACTGGGAACTGGGCATGCTGGAGCACGACATTCTCCCCCTCTTTTAGCACTCTGTTTTCCTTTCTTTGTTGGCTCTTGCATGGCGGCCCAACTCCGACAGTGCCAAACAAAAACAGCCAGGAGATTACTGAACGCATTTGGACGACGTCCCACACACACCAAAACGCAACGGTGCATCCCGAACATTTCTCGGCCGTCGAGGCCTGACCTCTCGTTGTGCCAGACAGAAATGTGAGCTCGGGCCGTGGGTGGAAAGCGTGTCAATCGACAAGCTGCACCCCAGAAGGCGCGAAACAAGTCCGGCAACGAGAAACGTCCTCGGCAGGCAGGCGAGAATGGCCGAAATCCTGGAACCATCTCCACAAGGTACACTTATTCACGAGGTCAACAAAATCCGTCGAGGGGACCCGAGCAAGTAAGAAACGGCGCAAGTCAGACCCTAATGGACGGACCCTGGTGAGAGAAGGATGCGCTAGAAAGCGACCCTCAAAACAAGGTCTCACTGAAACATTTGTCCATTGTCTTCCACTAGAAGGTCCCGGCCGTCTGGCCAGTCCACGCTTCCATTATGCCCCATGCCTTTTGCTTCTTTCTTTCTTTCTTTCTTTTGGGGAGGGGATATTGTTTTTGTTTCTCGCTGCCGCTACCTCTTTTGCCTTTGACGGCTTCTTGAATACTTCACATTTCAATAAGTGTGGAGTGTAATACGAATTAAATGGTGTGGAAGGACGACAGTGTATGACAGAACAATGGACATTCATTGGGTGATGACCCAGCCCTTACCTGGAAAGGAATGTGGGTATTTGGCAAATAACATGCACCCGCGTCCCAAGAGCCAGACAAACGGGACAGCCATTATGGGTCACTGGAAACAAGTGGACACACTCAAACAGGGCTGTAAAAGGCGCCGTCTTTTCGGCTTGCCCGTTATTTGTACGGGAGTATCTTGCATCTCCCCTTTTCCTCTTCTTTTCGGACCTTATTACCTCACTCATCGTAGCACGAAACTTTTCCGAAATTCCAAGAGCTCTTCGTCCAATCCATAAAAAAACATCCTAAAATAGTGTGCCGCTCTGCTTTTTCGGGGCATAGACAAGGTCCGGGTTCCGTGTTTTGTCATTCGCTGCCGCTATCGTCAGTGAACAGCAAAAGGAGTGATTACCTTGGGTGTTGTGATTCCATGTGAAGCAACATTTGCTATTACGTATTCAGTTGGCTTCACTTTGTACTCTTTCTCGGTACCAGACTTGACAAGGAAAGCAAAGCGTCCTTTCCTCCTCAACAAATGAAAGACGGAGAGGACTCCGGCGTGCCGACTTCATTTGGTGCTGAATCGTTTCGTTTGTCGGCTGAAATACTTGGTTTTCTCGCCATAGCCCATCGGCTATGTCTCTGTTCACCCCCTTTCTCTCACCTTCCTTAACCTTCATCTGTTCGGTCTACGGAGCACTACTCCTTATCATGAGCAAAGCCCCCCCCCCCCTATTTTCTTTTCTTTTTTTTCAATCCTGTCTAAATATAATCCGTCAATCATCACCACCAACATATTCACGGTGGACAGCTAATCAGTCAAGCCTGATACCGCTGGTATTCTTCACCCCTCTTATCAGCCGGTTCATTCACTTCATCTGGTTCCTTCGATTCCTTCAATTCTTGTGTCGGCCGTCTCCGACGGACACCGTTATCTCACGCTCGGTGTATATTGTACCTTATCGTACTTGGAGGGAATGCAACGCTGGCTGTTTTGTACACTGTTCTCTCAGCATGTACCATCCTCTGCCAGAAACAGCACAGTAAGTACCAGAGCACCATTGCCTTCCAGAGTTGCTATCATTACGGCGCTGTTTTGTACTTTGTACCTTTTCAGTCGCATCGCTCCCTGCAACATTAAGCACCTTTCTTGACTTTCTTGTTCCTGCTCGAGTCCTTGCTTTATTACGAAATATGGGAGGAGCCCGGTTTCTCGCTCACATGCAACCGTATTTCCGGTCACAAAAACGCCATTTTCCCCTGCCCATGCCTTGAACAAGCTTTACTCGATATGGTGTAGGCAGCGCGCCAGGCGACCCAAGCCCATGGTCTCTGGGACCACGTACCGTGCCATTGTCACTTTTTGCATTGTTTATTGTGTCATTTTGTGACAGCATTCACACATTTCCTGCTCTTTTTGGTCCATCGGGGACAGGGGAGTCGGCGAGGTGAGAGTGAGGAGTGCAGAGGACTTCACGGCAGAAGAGTTTACCAAACATGTCGTACTCCGTACTCCTCGTACGACTTACTCTCGCTCCCACCTCCACATGCAAAACTAACTGACAAATACGACTACGATGTAAGGAAGATGTAACTTTAGCAATTTGTATTGCCCCATAATGAGGTACCACAGTACTCCAAGAGAGGTCAAGAAGAGTGTCAGTGGAGCTTTACGAAGGAAATGTAAAGAAGACGTCAAATAAGGCGAGAACGAACTCCGCGTCGTCATGAACGAGACGGGAAATACGCATGCGGAAAGGCGGGCGGAAGAGAGCACAAAAAAGAAGAGAAAATTAAAGGAAGCAATAGGTCGCTGACCCTCAACGTCGTTACATCCCGCAACCGATTTCGCCATCGCTAGGCAAACGAAGACTTCCCGACTTCCAGAGCCCCTGACCGCCGAAACTGAAAACCCCGACCCAAGTTTACAACTCCGTTTCTTCCTCTTTCGCTGCTTCCAGCCAACAACTCTCCTCGGTGGTTTTT